GCCATTTTGGTTTTTTCTGAGATTCCTTTGCAGATCTCAGAAAAACGAAGCACCACCTGGGACTAGCAAAGTGTGCCACAGGCTGTGTCCTCGTGGTAATAATCTCCACAGTATCCCTTCAGAACTGACCTCTAAAATTAACTGACTCCAAACGTGACATTTTAATGAAAGATAAATATTAAAAGTTTCCTTCATCTGCTATTCAATAATGCCGACTTGTCCTAAATGCCCTTTGTTCCTATGCATCATATTTCCCCAAAGACTTTGATTTTTAAGAATTTAGAAGAGAGGATACAGTTCTGCAGTTTTAAGAATCATCCAGGTTTTTCTTCCCACTGCGAATGTGGTTCCCACATAACAACCCTGATTCTGCTAAGAACATAGAATTTGAGGGTGCAGCTTCGAAAGTCACTAGAGTAACACTGAGTGCACAAAAATAATTATCTGATAATTTATACTCCTTTATCAAAATAAGATGCCCCTCAGCAATGCTTATTAGCATATAATCGAGATGTATGCATGGCATTCTGTGAAACTTGATGGTCTATTAATTTAACCAGCAGTCTGTTAATTTACAAAAAGAGTAACTTTTAAAAAAAATATTAATATATCTCAAATACATGGAGTTTGACAACTGAATTGCTAACAGCACCTTTCTAAATATTTGTTTTGCTTATTTTCTATAATAGAGTTTAAAACCGGTGTTGTTCAGTAGTGCCCTTTATAAGTAGCGTAGAGACATTTATGGTGCACTCCCGATGTACCTGTCACTGCAGACCTCTCTCCTCGCAGATGGAAGGGTACAGTTTAGAGACAAGGCTGGATGCTATAAGAAAATTAGTACAGGAAAGCTCAGATAAATTAATAGCACCTGTGTTCTGAGAGTATGACTTGCTCAGAAAAACCTTCCTTTGAGATGAGTAAGCGTCAGAGTTCAGTTCAAGCACTTTCCCCAGCATTTCTTAAAATATCTCTTATAATTATGTTGCAATCTGTAAAATTTCATGTTAATTTTTCCCTGTGATCTTCCTAAGCCTCCTTAAACTATCTTCATATTCAAGATGCAGTTTAGTGATTGGTATGTAGGGGGTCTTCAGTAAAGAAAAACATTTATTTAATGTTGCTTTGTTACTCATATGATAAATATGAATGTATTTGTATTTCATATACAATATGGTGTCTTCAAATCTGAATTAGGAAGCCGAGAAAAGGTTGCGAGTCGCTGATCTGTTTCTCAAGGTCCCCTCTGCTGATTCCAGGACCACATTTCTGTAATCCTCCCAGTAATTTCAGTTCGGCCGCTAGCAGTTGTTCAGCACCTCTCTGAGGAGAACTGGACTCATACTCATAGCTTAGCAAGTGTTCCCAGATGACAATAATCTCCATGCCAAGAGCATCTTACTTCCCCTGTAAGGAAGAACACTTTCCAAAATGACAAGGGCGTTTCCAATTGTTACAGATTGAAATTATTTTTATTTTTAAAATGGCAACCTAGACAACATTACGGGACTAGAAACAACTGGTCAGAGATCCAAAACTTGTGGGAACTCTAAAGAATTTAAAATCCACTTCTCTGCTAAAAAGTAGAATTCCAAGAGGACACATAATTTAAAAATTATAACTTCAAGATTTTATAACTTTTTAGTTCAGAGAAACTCCATTGTGGGGGACCTTGGAATAATTTATCTCTCTGTGTGATTGGGTCTTTTCCATGCTGAAGGTTCCTTTGCTGACTTAGGTTAGAATCCCTTTGGATTTCTAAAATCTGTCTCTGATACTTGAAGGAAAGAAATTCAGGAACCTAAGTATTGTTGGTGAGTGACAAAGGATTGACTAACCATATGAAATGTAATGACACACGATGATGTTAGATAAGCATTCACTGGGCCACTACTCTCCATGCCCAAACTGGCTTGTGTTACATAGCAACTGTGAATAGTAACTATACATAAACTTTCTGATATAAGGAGAGACGAAAATTAAGACAATCTATCACAAAAAGAAATCATGCTTTTTCTGATCTCAGGTCACTGTTGTTATTGAGAACATGCAATCAATAGCACCAAGATCTGAATTAAGTGAGATAAAACATTGTTTTCCTCTGCTAATAGTGAGGAAGCTTAGAAAATCTAAAACTTACTTTTGTGGAGGTAGGAATTAGTTTTAGCTGCTTGTTAATCTTCCTAGTCATAGTTACTGTAAACTAATAATATTTCTCATCTTCCTAACCTTGAGCAAGGAGGGAAAGGCAAAGTATAATTCACAAGCAAATAGAGAACTAAAAAGAGCACCTTTTGTGTAAAGAAACCTAATGTTTTTACACTTTTTGTAGTGGGATTCCATGATGATCCTTTCATTGAATTCAGTAGTAAAATATTTTTGGTACTTAGCTGACAAGACCTTTGAAGTAAGAAGTCTGACTTTATAGCACATGTAAAAGATTTCTAGTTATAGACCTTCTAACATTAATGTCAGTTTTTTTCAACTCAGTTACTACTCTGGTTTTTTTAGGTTGTCATTGGAGGAAACTCTCCCTCATGGCTCCCATATTTATTCGTTGTTTCATCCTTTCATTCCTACAATATTTTACCCCATTCAACCCTTACTAGTCACAGCATTTTTTTTCCAAGCACTGAGGATACAACAGTGAAGGGTGACGCTCCCTGTTTTAATGTTGGCCAACATTTAGGAAACAGTTTTTAGTTCATCAGTAAGCTATAAAAAGTTGATAAAGCCAAGTCAATTGGTATTAAACATGTCAGTCCTCAGTGTTGTGTCCTTAGGGTTATACCAATTTGCAATTCTAAAATATCTGGCAGTGAATGTGGCGATTTTCCTGCTGATGAGTGTTTAATTATTTTGCAGGAGTATTTACCAGGAACATTCAGAATGTCAGGAATTTCATTTCTAGGAAAAACTTGAAACCTGTAGTTGCAACTTCTAAATCCCACTGCACACAACCTAGGAATCTCTTAACACTATACAATAATTGGAGCAAAGACCTGTACATTTCTTTTGTTGAGAATAGTAATAAAGAGTCATATGTTAGTACCCAGAGGGCAAGAGCACTGACACTCTTGACTGTCTCATAGATATGGAGTAAATATTTATTTTGCATAAGGCTGGGAAGGCACTTTCAAGTTTGCTGGCAGTCTGTTTTCCTTTCTAATACATGAATACAGGTTTAGTTAATTCAAATGAAGTAAATACATGGAATTCTTCTCCAAAATGTCTGTTGAAAAATCAAAATATTGGGATTAATTTGTATCTTCAGAAGACCACATTAGAAAGATCAACATCTTCACACTCCCTCCAAGAAGAAATTAACACACATTAGAGAAGATGTTTGTAAACATTTTCTACAAAATCCAGACTATATCTTAGGCTTAAAGGCAGTGGAATCTCTGTCACAGTGACTCCACTCAGCCTCTGATTCATGAAAGCATCTATGGACAATATCCAAATAAATAAATATGCCTGTGTTCCAGTCAAACTTATTTACACAGTCAGGCACCTTGCCAAGTTTGGCCCCAGTGCCAGTTTGCCAATCCCTGATTTAGGCAAACCTGTATCTGAGCAATGGTAACATTTCTCATATTTATTAATTTCTCGTTCCTATTTTATATCCCATCACATACTGAAATATACATAAGCATGTACCCTAAGTAGTGAAAAACATAATTCTCCATTTATCATTTGGTGTAACTTGTAATTAGGATGCTATGATAAAGTATATCCTCAGAAACTTGATATTTATCCATTTAAGTGAAATTTTTCCCAGTATTGATAACTTTTTGTTGTCTTCCTATGTCAAAGATTACTTTCCTTTGCCTTATAGTGAGTGCAATTAAACTTCTCTTAATAAGTAATCTTTTTAAACTAATTCTTACGTGCACTTGAACTATCCAGGAGCAAATCCCCTACGTCAGTTGTCCTTGGTTTAATTTAAATTTTAAATTTCCCAGTGGATATTTCTACTGCATCTACCTTTTATATCAGCTGTCAGTGTCACTGTATCTACGTCTTTGTAGTAATTCCCCTCTCCAATTCCACACCATCTTCTCCCATAGACCAATGCAAAAAATCTGCTCACTATAAAACTGAATTCTGATTAAAAGACACAGATCACTTAGTTTCTAGAATCACATAAATTATCAGCACAAACTCAAATTTGGTTCATTTTATGGGGTCACAGACTTCACAACAGCTATTTTCCATAGGACTCAATAGCTTGGTTGTGTCTTGTTTTGGAATGTGATTTCATAGCATTGAAGTTAATAAAATTTCTAAACAGATAAATGAGGAGTCTTCCTAGTGTACTAAATACATCTTTATTTTTTGAGTTATTTGGAAAAACCAATGTGAGAAATTGTTTACTTATTTTTGCTGCGTATTTTCTACTCTACACCCTGCTGATCTCTCAGTTTGTCTGATACAGTTTAACACAATACATCTGTACCCTGACCACATAAGAATCATCTGCAGAGCATTTGTAAAATACCAGGCTAGATTCCAACCTGGAAAGTCTTCTAGTCAGTCTATGGGACACAGGACAGGCATTAGTTATTCCTAGTTTTTGTTTTTGTTTTTGTTTAGGACTTCTATGTAATTCTCAAGTTATTCAAGAGCTAACAACCACTAGTTTACTACATGCAATTCCTTTTAAAGGTCTGTATTAAAAGGCTAAATGAATAGTAGGTTACACTGATATAGTCCTCTTTCCATTTTGTGGCATTGAAATCTCACAGATAATGAATGTGCACTTATCTAAGGACTTTAACTTCCTGTTCTGTGGAAAGTGACATGAAAGTTTTATTTCAGTGACTGTAGGGAAAGTAGTAAGACTTTAGCTTTCATGGTTGAGAGCTCTGAGTCTCCTCTTCTTGGGTGACGATTGTGTCTTAAAAGACTTTTTTCCTGTTTTGTTTGTTGTTTTTTTTGTTTTGTTTTTTTTTGGTAACTGAAGTTATGTGTGTGTTACTGTCTTTCTCTTGTCCTAGCACCAGAAGAATGGGCCGCCACCCGCTCCAGCTTGAAGGCGCCACCTCCACGGTCAGCCAGAGGCGGGTACAGGGAGCACCCCTATGGTAGATATTGAAGGTCCGTCTCCCCCGTGACCTCACCTCAGACAGTGCATAGCCTTGATCTCCACATAAACAGCAACGACACAAGTAATAGTCCTTTTGTTTGCTTTTTCTGTTCTGGGGTAACCACTCCTGAATGCCCCATATATTTCTTGTATTGCCTTCTATGCTGTCGGGTGACGTTGACACTAGTATTATTTTAAAGAACAGACTGAATGAAACATTGGCAAGCATAGTTTACAAAATATTCAGTAGGATGATACTCTCTTGGTTGTTTTTCATTGTTGTGTGTAATCTTTTTTTTCTTTTTCTTCTTTCTTTTTTTTAAGAAAGAGCATGAATCTGTTAACAGATTTTGAGTCTCAACCAATTAGCAGAAAGTTTGTTTAAGGTTGCTAAACCCTGTAATATGATTTTTGAACTAGCTGATAATAAAGTTGTAGATAAGATGTTTTAACTTGTCTTTTAATATCTGTTAGTTAGATGAAGATGTTCAATATTAAGTTTGTAAATTTAATTTAAATGCTGTTTTAATGGGGTTGAAAACAAGCAGCTACTGTATGTATGTAGCTAACTGAATTTGTTCAGTGTTTTAACCTGTATTTGTTAAAAAAGAAAAAAAACACATAAAGTTCCATGTGTAAGCTTCTCTAAATAGGAAACCACAATTTGTCAAATATGTTTGCCATAATTTGTCAATAAAGCTGAAAACTTTTGTAAAAACTAAATTTGGAATTACTTGTTTTCTAGCTTTAAATGCCTGCTTTATTTCTTCTTCAAGAGATGCCTAAAATGTTTTCTATTTAAAAATTACAAAAATGGACCCAAGTCTGTTTTAAGATATTTGTGTAATACTTAAAAATGTATTAATAACTTATGGTTGTTAAATAATTTAAAAGTTAACAAACTAAACTGTTACATGAATCATGGTTAGTAAACACTAATGTATAACATGTTAATGGAAAAGCTGGATTTAGAATAATAAATGGATTTTAAACTATCCTCTAAGCTTTATCTTGCTAAACACAAATTCTGATTGACTTGTTTGCATTAGCATGTCTCTCGTGAGAAAGAGTAATGGAGTATAAAGAGGTAAGATTACCACTTACCACTGTCTAAATGCCTAGTTCTTCAACCTTTGAGTTTCCCCGCACATTAAATATCCCATCCAACATGTAAGCATTGCGTAGATTCACTTGACTGTGTTCACTCAGAGGAGTGCGTGGACTTCATTTTTGTAGTTGATAACAATTTGTTTTGACAAACAAATCATCAGTGTCACCGGCCAGTTGTTGCGATTCAACCTCAAAAACTCTATTTGTAATTTTCAGTGCTAAATATCACCGCCCTTGAAGGCAGTGTAGAGGGCTGATATTTCTTTTGAGACTATCAGACTTGATGGCTGATGATTGTTAAGGAAATATGTCGCAGGACTCAAAGGATGACTAAACGTTAAAAGGTAACACTAACAGTAACTCTGTAATTTTGCCTATTACAAGAGTCATGTTAAATATTCTCAGTTATTAAGTTCCTGATAGTTAAAAAAGTAAACCTACAAAAACATAACAAATAGGTCTATAGGCTATTAAAACAACTAATTAACATTAACTAGAGGCACCAAAATTATTTTACAATATATAACCCTCAAGGCAATAAACAGAACTAAAATTAACAATAATAGTAATGCAACTCTTGCTAACATCAAACGTAAGCTAAATTTTGATGGAAAAAAGAAAGTGAAAGACTTGATGGTAGGGATGAATGCCAAAACTGTTAATTTTTTAAATATAGTTTTTTGTTCATGGTGGCTTTTTGTCAATGTGATTGGTTTACTTTTTTGATGCTAACCAGCTTAGGCATATTGCTGTGCAGTTTTTGCAGCTGGAGTTGCATGCTAATAGTTTTATGAAAGTGTGTGTTTGTCATCAATTGAAATTGTAAATATTTGCCTTGCGCAAAAAACTGTTGAGTCATATTTAATTTTATTCTTCTATTCTTTCTCACTATTTCAGGTATGCACAAGCAAACAACACATAATTGAATAGCAAGATGTTATGGACTAAGAAGGAAAGAGGTAAGGTTATTTTTTGTCTTCTTTGAATTAGATAATCTTTAATAACACGAAATTGTGGTACAGCATGAAGCTAAAGCAGTGGGCTAAAACATTAAATGCCGCTTGTTGAAATCTGAAAAAGATTAGATTGTTGTCAAGGCATTGAGTTATTTTTATCTTTGCAATAAAGATCTGATTTGGCATTTACTGGCAGAGCTTTCTGAATTTATTCAAAAGCTTGCCAAATGAAACAAGAATTTGTGGTTAATCTTTATCCCTTTTCTTTTCTATGAACTACTGCCCCTTCTATGGTACTACTCTCCTTAACTGCACTAAAAAGTATCAGTGCTTTTACTCTGCAGTCATGAGAATGAAGTCAGATCATTGACTAAGACAAAGGAGGGGCAACTGCACAACACCCAGCCCGATGCCTATGTCCTGTCAATGAGTTAACATAAAATAACTAAGCTTCACCATTATCTTTCTCACTCATCCCACTGACTGATCAGCAGGGTCATCTTTCTCATCTGCCATTCTGTTTAACTAACAGTTACTGAGTACCAAGTACTACTGCAAATTGAGACTTGCTTTCAGTGCACAGGGAGCTGAAAGTGTTAGCCAGTAAGCTTCAGCTGAAAGCGGCGCAAGGACATCTGTCCGGGGTACAGGCTGCGCTGACAGGAGAGCTACAGCGGACTGGCATGACGTTCAAAGAGGTAAATAGAAAATGACGTTCTGTACCTGGCCTGCTCTGTATTATTTGGGTATCTGTCACCAGCCTGAGGAAGAGCTGCAGGACACAAATGCGGGGCCTGATGATTCCAGGGACGGGAAGGACAGAGACTGTCGGAGCCATCAAGGTGGACGGAGAGGACAGCAGTGAGCAGAACCCAGGACTGAGGATGAGAGTGCCTCTGGGGAAGGGAGGGGCTCTGTGGTTCAGAAGCAGCAGACCAGAGCCCTGGACCCAGGTGGTGAGGCACACTGAGGCACAGCCTGCCTCCTCCTCCCCAGTAGCCGAGACTACAGGCGGTCACTATCTTATTTAACATCAGAGATCTAAGTTACAGAAATTCTGAAAGTATATTTTCCAGTAACATCCTCAGTCTGATTTGATCATTTAAAAAGTTGCTGTTTTTGTAAAGTGAAAGGAGAAAGCATCTCTAAGCCTGATATCCTGCTTATTTTTCTCCTTGTCCTTGTCAACCAATAGGCTTGATTTAGTAAGCAATGAAGGAAAGCCCAGCCACTCTGTTAGCTTTTCCATATATTAATCCACATGATGGAGTTGTTTTGCTGTAGTCATTTGATGGTTGCTGCAGTCTTGTAGCTCTGGGCTCTCTCACCATGCAGACTAGATCTTGGCATGCAGTAACTGCTGGCAGAAACATTAGTGCTCAACAAGAGAAAAGAACTGTATTTAAAGCTCACAAACAAATACCTGCAAGGAGGAGGACTTTGAGGTTCAAAAGCGTGCATTTTGAGCAACATAGCCCAGTGAAGTTTGGACACAAAGCTTGTATGTTAAACAGTAGACTCAAAAGGCATCCATCTACCTGTGTCCATATGGGTAGAACCTAAGATTGTCAAGGCAGAGAAGAAAGCTGAAGAGGAGCAATATCTAACACGTGAGTGGGAGCTGGAGTATGGGTTGTGTAAACAGGTCATTCGCTCTGCAAGGCCTTGGGCAGGCTGGGAACACAGAGGTCTTTGTCTGAGTGGGGCTGGGCAGAGCAAGCTTCTGATGCATGCACCAGCCTAAGCCTGGAGCCAGGCGAAGGTGTTCCCAGTGCTGCCCAGAGGAGAGCAACTAGGTGTGGCCAAGAGGGGCAGATGCACGCAGTGCTGGGGTGGTGCAGGGGCTAACCAGGCTGCAAATGCGGCCACAATGCGGCGTTCAAAAGGCAGAGGACCTCCTGCTCCTGTCACCAGCCCTCCAGCACTTGAGCACTTGCTTGACTCTCATGGTAATTAGAAATGAATCCAAAGCCACTCAAGGAGTGGTCCTGACAAGTAAATTTGTGTCGAATCAGAGCAAGCCTTCTCCAGGTGGTACAGAGATGACACAGGGTTCACCTGGCTCACCTCATGACTTCACGTCCACTCTGGGACTGCATAGCGCTATGTCCCAAGGTGGCACACATTTCTCTGACTGCCCCCAACCCTGCAGGTGGCACAAACATGTGTGGCACTGCCAAGGTTAAAGGACAATTCATTCCGAGTGTATTTTGAAATTGCTGTGTGCATGTTCGATCCATTCTTTCAGATAATGTTGTGACCCTTGGTCCACCGATGACCCTGTGACAGTGTGACCTCCCTAAAACCACTGAGGGAGTCGGCTTGGGCATGAAGCAAGGTACTTAAAAGAGTAAAAACCATTAATAAGTCAGAAGGTTTTTAAAAAAATTTTACTACATGCAAGTATGAATACATTAGAATCAATTTGATATCATTTAAGAACCCAAATAGTGTTTTTAGATCTCATAATTTTTCGATAATTTTCACTTTCAATTTAATAACAGAACTAAGGCCATTTAGCTTAGTGACAATTCACTAACAATTTTTAAATGAAATTGGTACAAAATAAGATATAAAAGCATCTCAGGAATTCTTTGAAAGGAAATGATATTTTTAAATTTTGCTATTAAAATACAACTCTTGTTTCTTGTTCACTTAAAATTATATAGGTATTTTGCAAACCACTTTTACACCTTTAAATTCAATCCTTTAGCTACAGCACTCTCTATCTCTATGTCTCTTGGTTTGTATAATGTAGATTACAGGTTTTGTATTGTTTTGTTGTGTTTCATTTTTGGAAACACAGAACAGTATTAGTAATCTGAGTTGGCTGAGTATTCCATTTCAAATTTCATTTTGAAGGTTCCCGTTACTGAAAGTTACCCATTTGCAACTCTTACAGATTACATGGGCAGGTTTAATTTTCACTGCAAAAATATTTATGATAAATAATAGCAAATAAGTACAATAGCAGGATAGTTCATAAAACTGAGTCCATCATTCATAGTTTGTACAGCATTAATAGTAGTAACAATAAAATCAGTAGAGCCTTCTGGCTTTTGAGCATGCATGTTCATACATGCTTTTTGAGCATGGCCAATGTTCTAGAATTTTAACATAAAAACTTATTTTTGTGCAGATAATGTATCTAAAATTATACTTTGACTTAGTATAAGTGTCTTACATGTTTTTATATGTTCTTTGGCTTATTAGTCTGGTTTTTAATCTGTACATATGATAATTAAATTCAAAATGTCTTATAAAATGGATGAATCTAATACTGGAAAAATAAAAAGGGGGTGGAGGAAAGGGGAAAAAAGAATTGAAATCCATTATGTGCACCTACCAATTCCTTACAGTGAATGTAATCATTATGTAATATAAACATGTTCTAATAAAATTAAAGAAAACTTACTGTTAAGCACCTGTAATTCCCACAAGCATGTGAAGGAAAGAAAATGTTTATCTACAGACGAGGAAGTAATGTAACACATTGCCAATAAGTAGAAAAATGAATGCTTACAATAAATTTTGACAACCCACATATTTTTCCAATGGAGGTTCCCAATGTAATTTCTATTCTGTAGCAATATAGTAAATATTCATTTAAAAGCATTGCAATATTTTTTTCGAAGTACATCTTACTTGGTTTTCTCTCAAAGTTATCCTCCTTTAAAATTTCTGCTATGACGTAGGAAAATGTAGATGAAACTATCCTACATTTGTCCCAAAGCATGGCTATAGTCTTTGTAGAATTAAGTCATTTATAATTTAAATTCCATTTTTACATTTAGAAAACCACATGATTAAATAAGCATGAAAGCAATTTAAGCCTTTGTTCTTCAATACATAAATCATAACTCTGCTGTAAAGAGTAAAGGTTAATTTCAAAATGGAAATAACTTTGTAAAATCTATGCAGGACACAAATAGAAACCGGGAATGGTAGCACACACCTATGATCCCAGGGGGCTGAGGCAGGAAGAGTGCCCTGAGTTAAGAGGCCAGCTTGGGGTACAAAATGTGTTCAAAGCCAGCTTGATCTGTATAGTGTGACCTTGTCTCGAAACATACACACATAAGAGAAAGTGTTTTGCTGTCACCAAGACAATGTGTAATATTTGCCAGATTTCTAGTTTCCTGTTAAACATCTGAGTTAAAAGCAAGGTAATGTGCTTCTGACTGATAGGCACCAGCCTTCCACATCCACCATAAGGATTCATTTCCTTGACTGTTTATGTGGATTATGTGGATTATGTATTGACTGTTTATGGATATTAATTGGTACCTGAATGATTATTTGCAGTGGAGGAGAAAAGGTCACTCTACTTAATATGCTGTTTTACATCTCGGCTCCTCACACTTTGTCCTGAGACGAACAAGGAGGCTGCCTCATCAGCCACTGGGTGCCTTAACAGCATGCAGCTTACCTGCCTTCACCTCCTTACTCTAACACAGTGAACCAGCTTCAAACTTGGTAACTAGCAACTCAACACCAATTTTGCTTAAGTTTCTCATCTACTATGTTTCATACTTGACAGTGCCATGTGATGAATTATGAGTTTGTAAGATAATTTTCTTGTACTGGGGATTGAACTCAGGGGCAAACCAGCTCATTTTTATTTTATTTTGAGGCAGGGTCTCACGAAGTTGCTAGGTTGCCTTTGAACTTGGAATGCTCCAGCCTCAGTCTCCTGAGTAGCTGGTGATTACAGGTGTGCACCACCACACCTAGCTTCAAGAGAAATGGGAGCACAGCTGGAGCCGATGCTTAGAGTCATTCCCAAGCCAGGTACAATAGACACAGGTTTCCATTCACCTCATGACTCTGAGAAGGACTTCTGCTAGGAGAGTGATCCCTGTCTTCTCTCTATGTCTGTCTACCTCATATACCTTGTTTCCTGTCTTATAACCTCAGAGCCAGCCTTCTTGCCACTCAAGACAGCCTTCAAGTTCTTTGTTGCCATCTCTGATACTTAGCACCTTATGTCATTTTCCCAACAGCGGGTGGGCAGGTAAGAGAACAAAGAGAACGCTTCAGTTTTTGTGTTTATTTGGGAAATGTCTATTTAGATACTTGCAAATTTTCATTCCTTTATTCATTTATATTTAAATTTATTTTTAGCTGATACATAAAAACATAAAAATTATATATGTATATTAATGGGTGGCATGTTTATAGCTGAAAAGTACTCCAGAGTCTATGTGTGCCAGTTTCTGTATCCACCCATCAGTGATAGACTCTTAGGTTGCTTCTATCTCTTGGCTACTGTGAATCAGCCAAGAGCAGAGGGATGCACTGTCCAGTGTCCTGATTCCATCTCATTTGGATAACCCTCAGTAGCAAGATTGCTGCACCTTAGGGTGATTTTCTTTTTGATGTGGATTTTACATACTGTTTTTCATAATGGCTGCACTAATTTACATTTCCACCAATAGTCCACAAAGGTTCCCTTTTCTGCAATCCTCACCAACACTAATATCTTCAGTCTTTTTGATATTACCTACTTTATGGTGGAAAGGTGATGTCTTGTTCTGGTTTTGATTTGCAATTTTCCCTATTATCAGTGATGTTGAGCAATTTTTCGTATTGCTATTGGTCACTTGAGCACTGATTTGTAAAATAAGTATTGTCACATTCCTCTGAGAAACTTCTCTGAAATCCATTTATCATTGATAATCTCCAAAAAGGATGAATTGGTTTAACTCATTAAAGACTTTTGAAATTTGTAGTTAGTAATCACACAGGCACAAATAATGTTTATCTTAGAATAAAGCAAAATTGACAGTGAATTGGTAGTTTTGTGGAGATGTTCTATTTTTGTGTTACATGTTTTCTTTTTTATGATTACAAAATAACTATAACTAGGGTAAAAAAGAGTGTATAATGTAAAAATCAAAAAATTGTAATTTCACCCCGCAAAGATACTTTTGTTATAGATTGACGTGTAGTCCCTCTGAGTTCCTTTGTCTTCTTTCCTTTCATTCTTCCAGTGCTGTTCTTTACTTACTTACTTACTTTAAATGGGATGCTTCTATATGAGTATTTGCAATTTTAATTTTCAGAAATGTGTTCTGATTTCTTGTAACAAATAAGCTAGTGCCCACTTCTATAAGGTTGGTGTGCATGTGTCTGTGTATGTGTGTGTGTGTGTGTGTGTGTGATTGATTAAAGCTGCATTAATAGACTCAGAAACTAAACAATAAGGCTTCTATAGAATGTAAGCAAAACTACTTTAACTTTTCCAGCTGCAGTTTCCTCATAAGTATAATCACAACTACACATAGAATATGAGATAAAGTAAAATGACCAGGGTCATGTATATCCTCACAGATTTTTGTTAATGTATTTCCCTAAACTAGTTACTTTTATTGTCTAAAAACTTTAACTTTCAGATAGATATCTTCATAGTGTAGATAAAATGTGTAAATGAAGGTTTAGTCCATAAAATAGTCATATTATCCAAATCAATTTGCACCGTAAACTTTTTTGTTTTTTGGCACGAGGGATCAAACTCAGGACCCTACACTTGCCTGGCAGGCACAGAGCCACTGAGCTACATCCCCAGCCCTAAACATTTTTTTTTAAATATCCTCGATATACAGTTAAAAGACACTAGAACACAGTTGTTTAAAAGTTCATTATATTCATAAGCAACATACATCAAGTATCTTTAGAGTAGGCATTAAGTGTTTACACACAAGAATCATACAGAATGCTGCATAAGTATTGCTAGCATTGAAATAGGGCTAAAATGACAGAGAGCCTACCAAGAATTTGATGCAATGCTTTTCTAATGAGAAAATGGAGCAAAAGGTATTTGCAATGATGGAGTACACAATGCATGTCACTGGGTGAAGGGTTTTTAAAAATTACTTGGGTTATTTTCTCAACATCTCTGCATGATATATTTGCTATCAACTCAAGATCCTGAGTCCTGCCCAATGTCCTGATCTCCAGAGATAATGCCTGATTGCATCTGCCCATCCACCACTAGACAAGTTTCCCTTACTGAAGAACAGAATTTAGCCTTCATGCAGCCTGAGAAATCCTACATAACCAAATAATTGAATTCAATGAAAAATGAAAATCAACTAGAAAATTATGTTGCTAGAGAAATAATTACAGTCACTGATCTTTTTTGGGGAGAACATGCTCTATTGTATTGATCTGTCTCATTCTGTATTACTGCAAAATAAGATGGATTTTCCAGCTGTTGTCTTTTCCTGGTGAACACAATATTGAAATGCTTGTTGCTCTTTATTATACTGAGTAAGATTCTAAAATGAAAATGAATATAAGAAGCAAAAATAGATTTGCAAAGAAAAATAATATAGCTAGAAGGCTGATAAAGAACCATTAGCTATGCTGAGATGAAACAGGCAGCAACATGAAAACCAGAAGGTGGTCTACCTACATCCATATAGAAATAATACATCCTGAGAGCTAAAGCTTCTCATGAGTCAACATTTGTGCATTTTATCACTTCAAGCAATAGATTTAGAAATTTAAAATATGCTTTCTTGTTACACCAAATAAGCAATATCCTACTACTCAATATGTCTTGAACTTCTATTGTCTAGTCCATAACAATTCTTTTCTGTTCTTTCTTTGTTTAAACTCCTGGATTCAAGTGAACCTCTTGCCTCAGCCTCCTGAGTAGCTGTGACACCACAGCTGGCTCTGAACAATTATTTTTTAGACCACTGAACTTTCCCTTCAAACTTTTTTATGGAAAATTTATGTGTTAAATATGTATATGTCTCTAAATAAAACACAAAACTTTATACCAGCCTCTCACAGGGTATGGTAATTAAAATTCATGTTTTTTTAAGAAAATTACAATACTGCACGTGAATACCTTTGGAATTGTTTGGAAATATTAAAATATTGAAGTACTAAATCTGTGGATACTAAAGGTATGCTGAAGGAATCTTACTACACTGTTCTATAAACATATTGATGTTTAAGAGACACTATCCTTCAACTTATTACAAAGAGTCCTGAATCTTTGTGTACTCTAGCCATTCAGTAAAAAATATACCCCCTTGGACACATTAATTCTACAATATACCAAATATTGATTGTTTATTTTTCATGTTTAGATAATTAGGAAATATTTAACATAGGGTGTTAAAAATGGTTAGTAGTAAGTAAAAACTGGTGATGAGTTGCTTGGTTCCTCAACTCCTGAAGTTAGAGAGGACTGGTAATCCTTTCAGGATTTAACTCAAAGGGGTTTGTATATTTAAGTAATGTTTACTCAATACACATGGTTTCCCACCACTAATTCTATAATTCCAACATATCACCTAAGGAAATCCATGTAGATGACACTAGAAATGAAACCCTGGGACTAACTGAAGCAGGCTCAAAAGAAAGTGGCTTCTTATCAATGTACAGCTAAAATACATTCAAACGTATTTGAAGCTGTTTTAGGGAAAGGCTACCATTTTTATCTAAACTAGTAGATTGGTCCACGTTTATAACAGGAGGCATTTATCAAATTTAACTAAAGGGGTAATTATCTATCAACTTCCCTGCATGTTTTTCTAGTCACATAATATTCCTTATGTACTAGCTATGATTTATATAAATTACCATATTGATCTGTATGTAAATATGCATATAAAGTATGCCTTGATATATTTTAAAACTTCTAAGATAATATTGTATTTAATGGCCATAACAACCCTTTAAAGAAAGCTGGACCAAAAATATATTACCTTGTTTTAAAGTTAAGAAAAAAATTTCAAATTTTGAGAAAAAAGTAAGGGAAGAAGCCTGAATTTGAAATGTTTGGGACTTGAGCTGAAACATATCACCTTCAAGATAACCAAAATTCTCATCCTTGTCACTGGTAATGCCTGATGGCAGAAGAGAGAAGAGTCAGAGTTGATGAAAGGCATACCTGTTCATGTACAGTAATTACTATATTTGGCATTTATTCATTAACTCATTAATGTGTTTACATACCTACTAAACACACGCCATAATGCTGAATACTTTAAAAAGCAGATTATTGTCAGATGTGTATGAAATCATTCATAATCAAGAGTCTGATAATTATAAAAGTACTTACTGAATTTGTAATAGCTAAATTACATAATGATTTTTTTCTGATTTTAGGTAGGAGAGACTGAAACTGAAATTAATTAAAAGTTTAAGACACTAAGAAATGATAACATCCTAATCTTTATTTAAAATATATAAAAATTTTAACCGCATTTCTCTAGTGTGTATGATTACAAAACTTTAAAAGAAAGAAAACCAGTCTGCTATTCTACCACTTAATAAGAATTGGTATAACTTTGGCCATTGCTGATTGTACTTACATTCATCCTTCCATCTTTAAAGAAATATTTTATGATTATCGGATATATGAGATTTCTAAATGCTCTGAGTTTTAAAGTCTAATTTTGACTTGGTTTGCAAAAAACTAAATTCACAACAATTTCCTAATTGTAAAACAAGAACCCTGTTTTGAGGAAAACTTCCCAGAAGGTTTGAGTCTAAATTAAACAGATGAGCAGTTCATCTTAATTTAATTTACTAAACAATTTCATTTAGCAGTTCAGAGACTTGGACTTCTCCCTTAAGTGCAGTCATTGGGAAAGAGTCTGTTGTTTGGTCCACTTTGTCTCTGCCTACATTTATTGGATGAGTGCATTCACTGCAAGAACTCAGAAATACTTGTCACAAATCCACTGCTGAAGGATTCCGTGGCAAATCAATACATATTTTACTGTTTTACGATTCATCTGCTGTTATTACACAGTGCAGAAAATGAGCTCCTGTTCTCATATAAAAGCAGCATATTTGAGAGTCTTGGGCTTACTCAGATTCTAGGTCCAATCTTCTCCTGAATCTGAAAGGAGTTCCTGAATGTTTAGTCTGGTGATCATGCACTTCCGGATCAGTGTGCTCAGAACCCCGCAGCTTCCCTGTCACCTGTGAGGTCAGGTAGTCCCTCTGTGACATCTCCACTGCACATGGGGAAGCAAACACATGGACCATCATGTGCCTTCACCTACCACTATCCCACAGAGGGCAGGAAAGAGTGCAGGAGTAAAGAAGGGATTTTAAAATTATATCTACAATGTCCAAAAAAATATGATTCTTAATATGCTATAGAGCATTTCTAGTGCCTGTATTTACTTATAAAGATAAATTATAATGATATTTGGTAAATATTTATTTAGATATTATTCCCTTCTCTTCTGAGACTGATTTGTTGTGAGAAATATGAAGAGATTACAAATGCTTTATATTTTTATATATAATTATCTAATTAGATATAAGATATTTTATTTCATTCAGTATTAGACTTTGTTTTACTGGAACAGCGAATTTTAATTCTCAAAATAGCCCTGAGTGATAATACTAATGTGTTGAAACTATATTCAGTCGATTTTATAAACTTATCAAACAGTGGATATAACACCTAAGTTCTGAAATGATTTTTATAATCAGGTAATTGTTTTCTTAATGAGATCATGGACAATAGCAAAATATGAAACTGTGGGTCCCTAAGTATAATGGTTATTATTTATTTCTACTTGCTTTCACTGTACAGTAAATTCCCAATTTACAAATGAGTTCAGTTCTAGGAGAATGTTCCTAAATTGGATTCGTTCTTAAGTCTGACAAAGTGAGTCTTATACACCTTTGACACAAAAATACAATGTAAAGCATTAAAAAACCAAACACACACACACAAATATGTAAGTCTCCTAACTCACTGTACTGCTGTGCAGTAGCACACTCTACAGTGAGCACACAGTGGCACAACCATGACAATGTCCAGCAGACACGTGAGCTACAGTTTGATTTAGTTCTTGTCCAACTCAGTTTGCAGCTAGAACCGTGGAAAGAATCAAGTTCATGAAGCTAGGTGCCACTCTCCCATGATTTGTTCATATATATCAATGTTCATAATGTGAGATCCATTTGTATCTGTGAAAGTTCACAACTCACACATTCTTAAATCAGGGATTTACGGTACAAACTTCCCTTATCATATATTTACCCCACCTACAATTTTATGGCTTGGTAATTTGGAATATACTTTCCTACTTTGAAACAACAAAGTGTTGAAAAAAGCATTATCTACTAAATGAGCCGTTTATCTAAAACAGGATAATTGCCATAATTAGCCATAAATTCAACTCTCTTTTCTACATTGCCTTTGGAGAAAATGTAAGCATTACTTACAAATGACAAAATTTCCCTTACATTTCAAAATACACCTTCATATTGGGTTGAGAGAAAAACATATAAACCAAAGCACTTAAGTATTTTTCAGTAATTCTGGCTACACTCGGTGCCAATAATTTATATCTTATATTCACAAAATAACACCCAAAGCTTGTTCCTATTATTAAAATACGTCATTCTACTTTAATTTTTGACATATGAAAATGTGCTGTTAATAACTGGGGTAACATATTGTATTGACTTTTAATTGAAAGTAAAATTGAAGGTTTACTATCTCATTCCTATAGCCACGGAAACATTCAGATTTTTATGTCACTGGTTACTTGTTCAGTAGAATCCACAATAGAATAGACATGAATAAGAATAAGAATTATTAGCTAAAATTATGCAGAATTTAAAAAACTATCCATAGATGTTATAGTGAGCTGTGTGTTAATATCAAATTACATATTTTAAGATTCCCATAGCAGTAGTCTATCTCTCAGCTAAAAAGATTCTTAATGTTCTGCAACACCAAGAAGCCACCCTTTTTTATTACAAATTAGAAAACTATAGAGCTAAACTAATCAACTTTAAATCAACTCAATTGTCCATGTTTCAATGAGACAGTGTTTTAAAACTGCAAAATAAAGGGTGGGGATTTAGCTCAGTGGTTCTGCCCCTGCCTCGCAAGTGCAAGGTCCTAAGTTGGATCCTGGTACCAAAAAAATAAAATAAAATAAAATAAAATAAAATAAAATAAAATAAAATAAAATAAAAATGCAAAATAAACCAAAAATTGAAATGCCCATTGCCTTATAATCGGAAATAGCCAGCTTTAAATTCCAGCCAACCAAGTTTGCCATTTCTGACTCGTATTCTTGGTGGGAAGTTGGCAGGAACATTTCTGTCTCTTAAACTGGCCTCGCACTAGTCAATGTTTATGAAACTCGTGTTGGCCTGTAAGCCACAGGATGGGAAGATGGGCAGCTATGGTTCCATTAAAACATACCTATAACCAGTATTTTCAAACCCCATGCACGGTGTGAAGCCACCCTTCCTTTCCAAAAGGAACTGTGCACTCCTCCCTCAGTTCTTGTTTTTTATTTTCCTTTTCCAGTGTGTAATGAGGGCCAATTAATTTGGGGTCATAAGGGGTGTTTATTCATCAGCCTACTATTAGAGACCTCAGCCTTCTCATCTTAGAAAGACTAACAGCCCATGAATAGAACACTGCTACATTCAAGTAACTACAAAATGCAGAAATTATTTTACTGTATTTTAATTTATTTTATTTTATTTTTTGGTATCAGGGATTGAACTCAGGACCTTGCACTTGCGAGGCAGGTGCAGCACCACTGAGCTAAATCGCTATCCCTATTTTACTGTATTTTAAATCATAACAATATTTCAGTGAAAATAAATTTTCAGTAACTTCACAAAAGTTCTACCAAATTAAAGGTATTGAATTAATACACCATCCAGTAAACTAGTGGTGTAACCATACTACATATTTTAAGTAAGAAAAGTAGAAATATCAGTAGTACAAGGTAACAAAGCAATTGAAATACTTTCTCAATGGTCTAACTTGGCCCCTTCTTTTAGAATCCTATTTTGATCTGCAAAATCAAGGTTAAAAGCTTGTTATGTAGATCTTTTTCTTCTAAATGTTTGATTTCTTTTTCATTCTCATATGAGAGTAAATTTTTTAATATTAATATATACTCTATATTCCTTAGCAGATAATGTGAGATACTACAAAACACCTGAGAAATTTTAATAATACTTGAGGTTCCATAAACTTAATTCTCAAATGACTTCTTAGAGTTTATTTATCAAATCACTCAGGGTTTGAAAGTAGCACATAAGCATTAATTGAGCAGCCATTAAGCAGTATGTTTGCTTTTGGTTGATAGAGGACATAAAGCTTCGCATCCTGTGGTTGTAAACAGTGAGGTCTTATGCTCATGCCACTAAACTTAAGCCAGTTTTGGTTTACAAAATACCCTTTAACTGAAGGCAGGAGCCTCCCCACCTCATAGCAAATCATACTTCTACCATCTTGTCTCAGTGTGCTTTATGCTAATGGCAATCGGTTGTCAGCATCTTTATTCCATCTCATAAAAAAAAAAAAAAAAAAAAAAAAAAAAAAAAAACTTCCTAAGAGACACTGATCATGGCTGGAGCACTGTTTTAAATTAAATTTTCTCTAAAACCCAGAAGAATATAAAAAGCCCTTAAACACAAAAAAGTGAGGTGGGTAATGTGTTTTGTTTTGAGTATGTTTGTTGTTAAATTTGCCATGAGTGAATTGACACACTGGTGAGATGACCAACAGATCCTGTGGGTGGCATTGCTTAATGGCCTGAAGTCGTCCTGTTCCGCAGAGACTACAGTGCAGGTGTCAGATAGAAAACCCCCAGACTGGGGTACGTCTGACACCAGTTATCTGGAGGCTGGTAGTCTGTACAAGTGCGGGAGTCACTTCATTCACTTGAGATTTCATTTATGAACTCTGCTTATAAGACAGGTGCAAAACACTTGGTGAACCCAAACAGAGCCCAAACACAGACGCTTGAATGGGTGAAAGAGTGCTTAGAATGGGATGAGAGCTGATGAGACACTGCATTAATGTCGAAGTGAGAATCTCCATCTTCATAGAGCCTTTGTCTACAAATGATTACAGTCATCCTTCCAAGTCTCAGCTTCTGCTAGGAGAGGGAAGCTGGGCTTTGTAGAAGAGGGCTGACATGAAAGTGAATCCAGTAAACACATGTGGAATGGTTGGGGCTGAAACGGGGCAGAGTGAGCAGAATGTGATGGAGCAGAACCAAGATAAGCTGTTCCTGCCCCAAATTCTCATTAGTTCTAAAGCAAAAGGATAAATACAACCTGACAGGCAGTGATGTGGAAGATTCAAGAGATGTTTCTCTTTTCTTTTTTATACACTCTTGTATTAAAAAATAATTTATTACTCACAAGTGCAAGGACCCGAGTTCTATCCCCGGTACCAAAAAAAATTTATTTAGAGTACTATTACAGGGTATATGTTTGTTTAATGAGCCAAGAAAATATGTAAGCTACTTCAGAGAGTCTACCTAAATTTTCCACAATGAAGGTGCATCTTCCAGGGCCCTGCCTTCAGACAGACCTTTGAAAAGACTTGAGATGAGTCAGAAATAAGTTATCAGTGCTCAGGAACACTGTGCCTCCTTCTGTTTATCTTAGAGGAGTTGGAACCCAGGCAGCACATTCTTTTGTGTTCTTCTTGAGTCTAACCCATATTAACATCTTTCCAAATGTGTGCCAAAGAATTCCATATCATCGTCCTAGCCAATATGACAAGCTCATGGGAATTTTCTTTCAGATACACAAGATATTATAGACAGACTGACCACGTGTCCGGCTTTACAAGCGCTATTCCGGTATAATTATTGCTAATAGTACCTTTCACTTTCAGAAATGTTTTGGTAAGATAATGAATTATGGCAGCCTTAGCTAGAAATAATAATGAAATGTTATAATAATGAACCTTAATTGAATGGTTGAATTTCTTAGACTTTGAAAAGCTGCCTTGTATAGTAAATTCTTCACAACAACTCAAAGAGGGAAGTATTTTTATTGTCACCGTTTACCTCAAGGAAACTGAGAGATGAAGCAGCATGGCCTACCTGCATGGTGGGCAAGCCTGTATCTCCATAAAGATCTGACCGTGTCACCTGCGGCAGAAGATGGGGTAGTGCCTACTACCTTCCCATCTGCCAAACAATGGAAGTGACTTCACTTCATTTCCTGTAGTCAAAGATACAGTTATTCTTCTGTTATTCTTCTTAGTTGTAACTATTTTTATGAGGATTATGTCCGTGTGTGTGTGTGTGTGTGTGTGTGTGTGTGTGTGTTACTGGGGACTGGACCCAAGAAGCATGGGGATGTATTCACACCTCTTTCTATTTTTTTATTTTGAGACAGAGTTTTTCTAAGTTGCCTAGTCTGCCCTCAAACTTGCAATCCTCCTGCTTCAGCCACCCCAGTACACACTCCTGGCTAAGAATCATGTTGTTTAAACCACAGGAAAAGAGCACTGAACTGAACGAACTACAGTGTAGTTAGGTTGTACTTCAACATATTAATGTCACTGCATAAATGATAATGATTTGCCAAGAGACTGCTTTATGCCAGGCAGCATTCTAGGGATTGGCCCCATGTTCTACTGCTGATGCTAAAAGAACCCTGCATGGCAGCAGGTTTGAACCCCATGAACCCTGAACATGTAGGGATTGTTGTAGCTGTGGTTCCAGATGGGCTCACAGGTTAAAAGTGAAGATGGAGGATGAAATCATTTTAGCAGGCTCTCCACCCGCAACCACCTGTGTCCAGATGTCTCACTGAGTAACTGACTGTCAGGATATGAGACACCGCAAGGATGGAAAGGAAAATCCTCGGGGACACAGGGACTTGTCTGCCACCTAACACAACACCTAACATATTAACTTCGTGCATTGAGTGCTTAGTGAGGGAATGTACTGTATGTACTTTTAATCTTTTCTTTGTTTTTCTCCTTTCCATAGCCCAAATAAGAAGAGAGTAAGGATTTGAACCAGTGTAAACTTAACTGCACTATGATAGACATTATCTTTCTCTGAAATTTACTAGGCATTTCTCCAACTTCAAAACCTTTCTGGAAGACAATCTTAAATAAGGATGAATAAATAATATTTTCTCATTATCAAATTTGTTATACCACTATATGAAGAATATGAATATAAAAACAGAGAAGGTAGAGGGCTGGGGATTCAGCTCAGTGATTCCACTGCCTGCCCCACAAGCACAAGGACCTGAATTCGATCCCCTTACCAAAAAAACAAAAAAAAGTGTAGAAATTCTTGCAACTACAGACTTCACTGTGCTATATATACCAAAGTAAATACAAGTCTATGCCTGTACACAAACAGTGATTACAGCTCACTTTGGGATATAAGAATATAAATGCACTATGGGTTACATGTTATTATAAACTGCCAGGTCATAGAGTGTGATATGGATCATGATTCTTAACTGGATGTGCATATCAGTATCAAGTGTGCTATGTTTTAAAAATCCAGATGCCAGGACCCTATCTGCATTGAATAGATACATTTCTGAGGTAGAAGCCTGGAAATCTGTATTTTTAAAACTCTCTAAGTGATTCTGACATGCACTGTGGATACTCACTAGTGGATTAAAATATATAGAAAATATTAATATATTAATAGTGCACATATTTAAAGAAGTTCTTTTGAGCTGAGACTTTCAAAAGATGGTATCATAGAAGAGATAAGATTTGAATGGAAGTTCAGACATGGACAGAAGGTAAGTGGAACATGATTTTTTCTTTTTTAGCTTAAAATAAAAATACAATCTTGGCTTTAATGTTTTTTCTGCATTTTTGATTCCCAATTGGATTAGAACCAATCTGTTAGATCCATTGTTCTGAGAAAGATCCTCACACTTATACCAATACATGCCTAAAAGCAAATTATTTTGTAATATACCTATGATAGAATCAAATGAAAATCAGATTTAGCATCCCCTGTGAAGGCTAATATGTTATTATAGATTAATATTTATATATATAATCAAGAAATTTAATCACAGCTAGTAACTACAATTTAGACTGCAAACTCCCAAAGGGCGGGGCTTGTATTTTATTCAGTTCTTGATTGTCAGTTCCTTAACATGGAGATTGTTATCTAGAATATGCATAATACATATTTGTTGAATGCATGAGGCCTTCGAATTTACTTAGTTTATTCATTCTACCTTGCTTGTGAGGCAAATTGCATCGACCTCCATTGGAAGGTAATAAAATTTAGCTGTAAAATTTTGGGCCGTTCCTTTGTTGTCATTTTTTTTTTTAATCTGCAACAAGGCACTGCCAAAGACTTCAGTCATTAGTTCATAAGAGTAAACTTTAAGTCTTCTCTTTCTCAGAAAAAGACTGAAGAGAAGAAGGATGGGAGAGGCAAGGGCGTTCTTCCCAGCATGTGGGCATCCTTCCGCATTCCAGCCCAGGGCCACTGTACACCCCTCTTCTCAGTCCTGTACCTCCTGGGGAAGCAAGGACGGCACTAGAACTCCCCATAGGCAGGAGCAAGACTTGGACATCTTCCCAGGCTTTCTGAGCCCTTCCTGCCAGCCCTGCAGTATTGGAGGAGAGGATTATTTTGTCACTGTTGGGGTCTGGGCAGTTAGTGGAGCCTAAGGCACAGCCCAGAGGATCACAGAGACTCTCCATTTCATTCTGCAGTGTAAATCCCCACCACAATGAAGCCCGGCTTCACTTGGCTTTCAATGTGGTGGTGAAGGGGGGGCCTTGTATTTTCCCAGTGGAACTGTATAATACATTTGGAAACATATTCATAGGGAGAAAATAGTAGGGAAAGTACTGAAAAGAAAACAAAATAAAGATGGAAAAAGAAAATGGTGAGCTGACCACAGAAAGCTTTGATGTTATCATTCACATAGCTCCACTTCGATGATTAAAAACAGCTGCTTATCTTGGAATTAGGAAGATAAGATTCAGGTAAGAACTGGAAGACAGCTCTGAGCAGAAGCTGCTAGCACCTTGTGGCACCTGCGGCTCCCCGCTGGGGCCAGCAAGGGAGCTCTGGCTGTGTGTCCACCATAGTGGCTTCTGGTTCAGCTGATGGCCCTAGGGTAGAAGGATTTAAAAGAAATAAAGGCCACCCTACCAAGGGACTATTCAGTGACCCCTTCATCTTCTGACACATGGAATTGGGAGTTGGAACTAACTCAAAACTTCCAAACTGCTGAGCAGCATCTTAGTAAACATATGGGCTGCAAAATAAGTGTAGGGAACCAAGACTTGGGAAACCTGATACCTGCTCAGGGAAGGGACTTGCTGAGCCTCTTGGGAGTGGGGCACTTTCTGAGCTGGTGCTCCATGATTGCTTCATCTCAGAGAAGCCTTGTAATCATGGGGAAAAGCATACTGAAAATCAGCATGATTACCAATTCTTATGCAAGATTTAACAAAAACATGAAGAAATAGTTTAACTCACAGGGGTCACATAATAGTTCTGTATATTAAGTAAAATTAATTCATGTTTTTAATAATATTCCTAGAGTGGACCATGTGGCCTCCAATACTGTGGTCATTTTAATCAGCAGGGTGAGCTGAGTCCACTGGTCAGGCTCAGCAGCACCCCATGTGTCCACTTCATCCCTGCTGGGCTTGGTGACTTTACTTTGGTAGCAGGAAGTGGACATTTGTGACTCCATTTTTATGCCATGGACATTGGCTACTGCTATAATCCAGGGTCTTGTTTTCTCTTGTAGAACACCTGTGAGCCAGTTATTAGCACACCGCTGAATTACACACACATTTTATAAGAAAAAGGGACCCAATATAAATAGAAGTCTCTGTAATTAAGAATCTTGCTCACTGGTAAATATTTTAATAAGACACTGCTTATGAGAGATAGCATTAAGTTAGACTGTCTAGGTGCAAATCTTTTATTAGTTATCAGTTAATAAAATCCCTGTGCCTTAGTCTCCTCATACTTAAAATGAGAACATAATAATGCCTATTGCATCGGATTGTTTTGATGGTGAAATGAGCTAACATATGTAATACACTGCAAAAAACGCCTCGTGTAGGAAACATGCTTGGTGAGTTCATTCTATTAACATCAACAGGCTGTTTAGACTTCTCCTAAAACACTGCCTAATTTCAGTGTTACTTTTCCTGTTGAGATTTTATATCTTTTAGAAACCTGTACCCAACTTCCACAAGTTTGTGAAGATCCATTAAATGGAAGCACGTCAAATCACTCCAAAATGCACAAAGCACTGAGTAAGTGAAAGCTTCAATAATTATGTTAAAGGCACCATCTTGAATTTTGTTTATACCACATCTCTGAAATGAGCATCAGATTTTTCTCTAGGCAATTACTGTTTGTACAGAAACAAACACAGATGGTACCCAAAATTACTACTACATCGTTCAAGCTAAGGCATTTATCAAAATATTGATGGTCACTAAATGTCCTCTGTACATTTAGTACAAGTACTAAATTTAGTATATACAAGCCCACACCTCAGTCAGACAGCACAGCAATTTAGGCAGATAAGCCTTTGCTAGATAATCCAAGGATTTTCTGATGTGTAGAATAGCTAGCACAACAAACAGAAAATCTTACATGTAGGCAAAGTTTTGCGAAATAGGATGTTAACATGAAATTTCTTTTAGAGAAAAAAATTGATTTGTCTTTTCTGATAAACATTCCAAACAAAGAAAAATTTATTTTTGTGGTTGTGCATGCGCATGTTCCCAGTTTCCATTGACCTTCTGGCTAAGCAAGGCAAGAAGGAGAAATGCGTCTTGAGTATAGATTAAAGATCTTTTAAGAACCCAGTCTTTGTAGTGCACCCTTCTTTTTATGGGCAGGGTAATCTTCTGGTTTCTACAACTCTACTCCCTTGGATTTCGTGCTGCTTGGGGCCTGTTTGTCCTTGGATCCTTTTCTGCCTGTCCCAAGCTTCCTTTTCCACTCCTCTGTCTCAGTTTCATAGCTGACTTCAAGAGAGCCTTGGGCTAACAGTGGAGGTGCGATTTCCCCAACCAGACTGCATCTCCTTCACCTTCTCCAGCAGCAGCCACTCCCCTCCTGCTCCTGCTCACCTGGGTTCCAGTTCCCACCTTGTCACAGGTGTGTGTGCCCCCGAGCCTTCGGCTTGCTCCTGGCACTAATTTCTGAGTTGTCCCCCTTTTCTCTGGTTTGCTTGCTCTGGATCTCTGATCAACCGTCTCCCACTTTGTGGAATTCCCTGAGTCACAGTTCTCCCCTTCAAATACTCCAATCTTATTTTCCTAGCTGCATCCTGATTGGTGCCAGTCCGGCACAGCATCCTGCTCACACTGAAGTCTTGGGTAGCACAGCCCGGAGGCGATGCCCAGTGCTCCTGCTGACCCGAGGACCTCTGGGGCCAGACCCCAAGGCTTCGACCCCCTTCCCAGCTCTCCTTCTCCGGTTCAGATTCTACTTGAGCCCACTCTGCCCAGGAGAGACCAAGTAGTTTTCTCTGCCTGCTGACACTGACACCAGAAGACATTCAAACAGCTCACTGGATTGCTAGCCCAGCCCATTGGTGGCAAACCTATGGGACATGTGCCCAGCCTCTGCCATCAATTAAGTAGATGCCATAGCTCTGACTTGTTTCCTGTAAAGGGGTGCCGGCTTTGTTTACTTCATTTAGCAGGCTCTCTCTGCGCACTCGGTCCACTGCCTCCCACATCGGTCCGTGGCATTTGTTTATTCTACCCAATCACACGCAGAGCTCTGTGGTCAGGGGCACTTTTCCTTTTATATCTGCTCACAGCAGGTTCACAGTACAGGCTTGTGAGCTAAATACAGTCTACATTTCACCAGCATCTGTGCTGATTTCCGGTTCCTTGTCAGAGGGACATGCTGTGTGCCCTCCTGCAGCTGCATGGTGTGCACTGGATCATCCACTCAGGATGTGCTCTGAGCAGGTCCTGTATTCTAGACCGGAGATACTGGGGGCCACTAGGGGCAGCACAAAGACTCCAAGGCCCATTGCCACTTATTTTAAAAGCAAGGGTTCCCCCTAAGCTGCCTCTCCCTGGGGACTGCCACTGTCCTTCTAGTGGTTTCCTGGACTGACAATGCTCTGTGTCACAGAACCTGCTCATCTTCTTCATAGCATTGCATATGAACTATGTATGGAATAAGCATAAAGGACAGGGAGAAATTTAAATTTATACAAATGTGTAGTGAATACAAAGGGCACGTGTATAAGTATCATACAGAACAGGCACCCTCTTGTATGAGTGTGTGTGGGGGGGTGTTGTTATGCTTTCATTTTGTCTTTCCCTCTACAGATTTTCTTTACTTCAGCTTCTTTCACTACTGAACACCAAGCCTAACACAGAGGCTGGCTGGCACACAGTAGGTGCTCAAATGCTTGGTGAATAAATAATAGAGAGTGGCTGGATCAAGGAGAGCAAAGAACGCTTCCCAATCATTAATTTATCAGACCTTAAGTTTTCCTGAATAAAAAATGTAGAAAGGAGAGAACAAGGAATTATGTCAGCTTCTTTGGTCTAAAACATTTGGAGAATAGCTGGTCACAACCTATTGTTTAGTAACCCAGCCTTACTCAGAAATGCCAGTGGTTGAACTCATGATTTTTCAAACTTACTCATTCAAAGGCTATTCATATTCCCCATATTATTTTAATTCCTTTCCCTTATCAGAGAGGCAGTACTGAGTTTCCTATATGATTTAACTATATAGCATACTAACACGCATAGCCCATGGAGAAAGAGCCCTCCCCCCTTGCCTGTGCTTGCCCCTTACTTTTTTATTCTTCGTGAGCATGCACATTATTTCATTTAACAACCAGTTAAGATGCCTTTATGTGTCAGGCACTGCACTAGAGACCTGATATAAAAACAAAAACAAAAATACAAATCAAAAAGCAGTGAGCAAGACAGCATCTGCTTTCATGAAGCCTAGAGTGTAACGAGGGTTCACAGCAATAAATGGAACATATATTATGATGCCAGAAAGAAATAGAAAGCTTGAGACAAAATAGTGGGCAAGCAGTGGCGAGGAGGCTCAGGGCTGCTAGGCCAGGGCAGAAGGCCTTCCTGAGGAGCTGACATTTCAGCAGCGTCTAAGAATAGAGGCAGCACTCACACTGCAGGAGAGGAGCCCCGTGGTGTGTGGTGTGGGCAGGCACACATGCTGGGCTGTCTGCCAGTGGACACTTGTGAGCCCAGGAAGGATGGTGGGAGCAGGGCTTGGGGGACAGCGCAGGTCAAATCGTGCGTGGTTTTCTGAGCAGAGCACCACTAAAAGGTGGGGTATGTGCCTGGAACCCAGCCACATTGGAGGCTTAGCAGGAGGGTGGAGAGTTCAAAACCAGGCTGGGCAATCTAGCAAGACCCAGCCTCAAAATGAAATGAAAAAAAAGAACTTGTACAAGAAGCTACAATGATCTGATACAAGTTTCAAAAGACCACCCTGGCTGCTGGATGGAGCACTAATGGGAAGAGGACCTGAGTAAAATGAGACAACCTGGCAGACTGTCAGAGTGGTAACTCCAGGGCAGGGATGTGTCGTTTCCACCTGGAGAGCTGGACAGGAGGATGTGCAGGCCGGATTGGGAGGGAAGAAAGGGCTGCGTGTGACCCTGCAGTTTCTGTCTCGGGTGCTGGATGATAGTTCGCTTACTAGGGGCCCCCCAGCAGCTCTGTCTCGATGAGGTTCATGGCATGGTCCTGTGACACCTGGTCAGAGATGTGAAAAAGACCCCTGATTACAGCAATGTGACGCTGTGACAGAAATGAGCCCGAGCCAGCCTCTGCTAGGTCTCACCTTTGGTCTGGGGAGAAAACTCAAGTTTTTTACACACACATTTATTTTTAAATAGGCTGCACAGGCAGATTTTCACACATTGAAGATTCGCTTGTTCTGCACACCCTGCAAAACCTCACCTCACATCCGCAGCAGTAGGTAAGTCCCAGGTCAACAGACACAAGCTACTGCTGCCCGTTGGAGCTCTGTGACCAGAACACGCCCCCTCTCCAGTCCTGTTCTCCCCTAGACATCCCCTGGTCCTTAGCACTTCTGCATCTTAGTCTTCAGACAGACTCCTATTGCCATGGACTCCCCAGGGCAGAACTGTCAAAGTAGCCCCTGATGGGTACAAAGTAGCCTGTGGGTGCTACTGCTACCTTGTGCTCAGGATTTCCTCGATCAGGCTCAAAACAAACCCCTGGAAAAGCTCAAAGGAAAACAAGATTTTGCTCTGGAGCCACAGTATTACCAGGAAATATTTAGCACCAAGATTGCATTAGGGCCATGATAATCACTGATACTACTTTAGGAGGAGTGCTCCAGGACTCTCTCTGAAGAGTTAAAAATGTTAGATAGGCTAACAAGGAAAACCCACAAATGTAACCCCTCAGTCAATCCCTGTGCACATTTTCCTATCCAGGCCACTCACTGGCTCTGAGACAGCCTGGCTCCTCCTCCCTCCACCCTGGGTTCTGTGTCACTGCTTTCCCCATTATTGAAAGTATAGATTATGTGTCTGTCCCTACACAAGGCTGTCCTGGAAGTGAGACATGTGCTCATCTTTGAATTCCAAAGACCTAGCAGGGCACCCGTAGAGTGGGAAATTCGTGTTTCCTGGAAGGCTGAGTGAGTGTCTGGCAGCCTTAGAGAGGACAGAACAGGGCAGGGGTGACAATGTGGACAGTAGACTTTGGTGGCTGGGGAACGTCAAGACTCCTCTTGTTTTCATGATGATAGGATTATTATCTGCTCTTGCTTCTCGATCTGAAGTTAGATTCTGCTCTCATACTAAATAAAACACTGGGTCACTGGTCTCACGTGTATTGTACCACAGAAACTACATATGGGGTCAGAGAATAATACAAAATGATTTCAAGCAATTAGAATCATAGCGAGCTTCTTAAAAATTCAAGATGTTATAGTGCTAATGGTGAGTGTAGAGTTTATCTTACAGAATTATTATACTAATTTGGTTTTGCTTCTTTGCTTTAGGAGAAGTTTAAAGTAAAGAAAAAATGATATTTAGGTCAAGTTGCAAAAGACATGAACCTGAGTCACCTCTGAGAAGATTTTTCCCTTCTTAATTAGAATCTTTTTTCGTGATTTCAGAACTGTTATCTTTGCATTTTTATATAATGGGTCAAGGCTAATCCAAGTTATTATAGGTTAGATCACTCTTCCCTATTTTTTTTACTAAGGTACTTGTTCATAATTCATAACTTGGCCTTTGAAAACAAAAACTAATACTAGAGAAGTCTATTACCTCTATCATGCCACTTAATGTCTAAGGTAGAACCAGAGTTCATTTTTTCTATGAAGTCAGCACAAAATAAGTAAATGGAATGCACACAGAATTGGAAGCTAATTGAGTAGTATACTTAAATGTGAAAAAGGTCTCTAGATACATGGTGATCCAATATTTTGCACTCCCTTAACTATGTTACAAAATTTATATCACACTTACTATATATTTAATGAAAATCTTTCAGTATAAAAATAAGTAGCAATTCTTTGGATATTCACTCTGAGAATATTCACTCTGAGAATGACTGTAAATTTTTTAAATTTACTAAGTACATCTTAGAATTGATTTTATAAAATCTTTTGTGTCACAACAAATACTGAACAGAATTCATTACTATGGCACAGAGAGATGGAAAGCAAATGTCAGAGTTCAATATTTATGTTATATAATTATCTATGATTATATATAATTTATATAATCATAGATAATTGTACATTAACTTACATAAACATCATGCCTTATTGAATTATTGATATCTGTTTGTGAAAATACTGCCTGAGGTTGATCCCCCATTTGAGATATGAAACAGGTAAAATTATAAAACAAAGTATAAAAATTTCCATATATCAATTTATTGTTATGATCAGATAACATATGGCATAATGATTTGCCATTTATAGAGCACTTGAACCATCATTTCTTAATGATCTAATTTTATCCTTGCATCATAAAAGTAAAGGTTATAAAAATAACAGACATTGCATATTTAAATACATACTGTACATATTATTTTTCTCCTGTTCTTTCTTGATAAAAAAGTTAAATACAGAGGAGACTGGTGCCCAATAAACTGCAGAGAGAGTGAAGTATGGATGACACGAACTTCAAGGACTTCTTCGAACTTACAGAAGCTAGGTCACAACTGCCATATTTTTCACATATTTATAAATTTAGGACACCAGAAGAATCATCTTCTTTAATAATGGACAAATTGACACCGTGTAATGAAGCATCTCATTGCAGTTACTACATGCTACTTTTTAAATGTGGAGCTGGGGATGAACCAAGCACCTGGTCTGTGCTCTGCCATGAGCTCCACCCACTGCGAGTCCCCAGTGTTGTCCTTTAAAGCATAACTTAAATAATACCCATATACCTTTTTTTCTCTTTCCTTATGACATGAATGATCCTGTAGAAGTGAGAAGGAATTTATATTTTTTTTCTTAAACTCACAAAAAGCAACACAGAAGGAAAAGGTCCCAGACCTCACAGGCATAGACACCCACTGCGCAGAGCAGCCTTGGAGGCGTTGTGCACTTTGCATCTGGGAGCCAAGGACCTTGGACACGCGCTACTTTAGGTACTTAGTGTCCCGGGCTTATTTAGTGTTTGATGTAGAGAAACATTTACCTCTCTACAGCATTGTGTGCTCATTTACATAATATTCTTGTAGCAGAAAACTACCGAGGGCAAAATTAGGTGGCGTGGAAATAGCAGTGCTTCACAGCTAGGCTAATGGAATTGCAGAGACCACAGCACACAGGGAGCAAACACAGTCCCTGCCTACATGGAGGGACTCTTACTTTTCAGCTACCTTATAAATAGGTGTTAGGCTATCCCTATTTTACACCAAGGAAGCTAACACTCAAGGAGATTAAAAAATTTGCTATAGTTTTACAATTTTTAAATGACAAACTGAATAAAAACGCAGGAAACTGTTTAAGGCATAAAAATGTATTTATTTGTTGGAGGGAATATAAGGGACCTTCAGCCTAAATATTACAGTTCTACTTAACATGGATAATGGAGTGCTAGTAAAGGGTAGGTAAAGAAAAGAAGGATGAATCATTATAAAAGGTGTTTGGAGCATAAAATGACTTTTTCTTTCCTTGACATGTGTTTCTGAGTCTTTAATGTGCTATCATCTTCCAGAAGTCGCCAAGAGACTAATTTTACCAGCATATTTAATCATCAATTCTGCCTCTTCCCCATTCTGTCCACAGCAGCACCTTATGGGAAGCATTCTAGAAAATGCATTTGAATACCTAATCTGGAATACCCCTAAGTTAATACCCTGGACTCTGCCCAGGCTCTGTGGACAGCTCAACACCACACTTTCTTCATGTAAACACTGCTGGCTACCCTGTCCCAGAAGAAATTGTTCCTTTTCAAATCTTTGTGAAATTTCTGATATATTGTAGTTGCATAATATTTAGAATACAAGTATAGCTAGGGAAATAGAAATATGTATAGCACAATATACAGATATGTATACATGGCAGAAAAATATTCAGATATTCACATATGTATGCAACACACAAATCAGAGTTCGCACATTCAAATGTACTCTCTTAAGTGACTATCTCAGGAAGCCATGCATTTCCCACATAATTTTAAAAATCAATTTTGCAGTTGGCTTTGGAGAACTACATTTTAAGTATTCTCACAATTGCCTCATCCTTGCAGATTGGAAAGATTTCTGGAAAGAATCAAAACCATATGAAGCAAGTGGAAATTGAAGCCATCAACTAAGTCAATTTTCTCTTTAGAATCAGAAGGCTGTTCTGAGCACAGTCACGGAAGTGGATAAGAAGATAGATGTTAGAACATGAAGCATTGTCTAAGGCGTGTAGGGTTGTCACATGCCCACATTTGGGAAGGAAATGTAACTTCTCATTTTTACTTAAGAATTATTTTTGGTAAATTAAGTGAAAGTTATAGATTTCAACTCATTCACGCAATTTATTTAAATACGTGAAATCACTAAGTGAAAAAATCGGTAACAAAGGAAACAATGACAAATAACATAAATGTACTATCTTCTAGGTAGTCAAGGCAAAAATTAAAAATTCACTGCATAAAACAATGAAAGAAAAATTTCTTCATTAAATGAGGAATGAGGAGTGAAAATACCATCTATTTGATTATATTTGTTATTCTATTTTTTAAAATTGTTTTTAAAACCTCTTTGAGGTATGTCCTTGAAACTCCAGTGCTTCCCAGACACATTAAATAATAAAAAAGCAAAAAGAGTTCACTTTGGGTAGATATGCATTTGAGTCTCTGATAGACCATTACAAACAAAGTACAGGGCAGGCCAGGGATTTAGCTCAGTGGTTCCACCACCTGCAGAAGGTCCCAAGTTCAATGCCCAATGCCAAAAAAAAAAAGGAAAAATGTACATAATGTGACCAAGATTTAGTTTCCTCATCTGTAAAATTATAGAATTGAGAAGATTAAATGTAACATACAAGGTCTTTAGTTCGATCCCCAGCACCAAAAATAAATAAATAAACCAGACAAACTGAGCTTTCAAAGTACTTAATGTTAATTGGAGAAATGAAGTTCGTACCATGTGCTAATATGTAACTAGAAAAATATCCAAGAAGAACTACAGAAATTTGCAGAGAAAGAGGATAATTCTGAAAAAGACCAGAAAGACTTCATAATAAGAGATGAAAGGAAAAATTGGAAGTTATCTCCAGTAGAAATGTTTGGAAAGAGTTTAAAGAATAGAAACATCACAAACCAAAGAAGGGAGACTCCAAAGTACAGACTATTTTCAGAGATTTTCAATTGGCTCAGCTGGTTTAATTTCATGTGTTAAAAAAAAAAAGCACTGGTCAGAGGGAAGGTAGACACATAGAGCGATTTGCAAAATCTGGAATAATGGGTGAATGGTGTTTATTTAGACAGGGAGTGGTGTGGTAGAGAAGTGCTTATAGAAATCTAGAAGCTTCCCATGGTGTTTGTTGAGCAGAGAAGTGATTCCAAGTGAAAAGACTAATGGAGAAGTTGTGGAAGCAACCCACAAGTCAAAAGAGGCACCCAGCAGTGGAAGGGAGGGCATAATGGTGACTGAAGGCTAAGTGAGTACAGGTCTTCTTTGGAGGTTCTGATTCCACCATATCAAGCACAAGAATGTAACTTGGATTTTATGCTTTCAAGGGATGATTTTTGAACATGCTAATAGGGATAACCAAGGTTAGAGGCTTTGAATCAACCGAAGGAGTCAGTAAGAAGAACTTGTCTAGGAAAATGGAAACAAAAGTGGGGAGACAGCGATGAGTATGAGAAGAAGACTTGGTAGTAACTAACTCTAAAATTCATATAACTGGTCCATCTTTGACTACTGTCTTTCTTTACTCTTAGCTCTTAGATGATGTCTACCCCAGATCATATCTGTCTCCACTTCCCTGAGCCCTGTGTATTTATTAAAGGAAGATTTTATTCACATCAGCTCTAGTCCATGACACTGAGGAGTGGATCCAGTTCAGCTATCAATGAAAAATGAATCTATCCTTCCTACAGGGCTGTTAGTCACATTCAGGATAAGAGAAATAATAGGAAGCAGGGACCCTTGTCAAAGGGGGAGGGGATCAAGAGGTTCAGGGAAGGAGGAGAGGTGGGAAGGAAAAGGGATGAGAAAAGGAATTAAGATGTGTTATGTACATGTACCAACTTCATACAAGGAGTGTAAACCTTACAGACTGCAAACACGTACAGTACTAATAAATTTTCTTAAAAACAGGGGAGAGAATATATTCTTTTGGGTTAGTGACTATCTATGGTGTTTGCCCTAGCATCCTTTAAACCAGATACTGTGAGTCATAATGCTGGGGTCCTTGGAAAAAGAGAAGTAAAAATTCAGTAGGTTTCTGTGGCATATGAAGCAGTGAGACATTATGCAACTGAGGGTGGGTTCTAAGTGATGATTGTGTCGGGTGTTGGGTTAAACACAGCGAAATAAAAATGTGCAAAGTCACCAGAGTCTCTTGGAGTTAGTTACTTAAATTCCTGGATAGTTTCCCGCTGTAAGAATGACTGACAGATTGCTCCCCAACAACGCTATGTATTTTAAAGTTCTTTTCATGAAAATATTTACACCTACCTACATTGAAACAATATAATGAACAATATATACCCTTTGCTTTGCTAAACTGAGTATCAATATTTTGCCAAAGGTTATAAACTTTTCTTGCCCTTATACATTTTTTAGTATTTTAAAGCGAATACTAAACATGCTGTTTAAAAGCTATTTGGTATGCATCTCTAACTAGTGAGAACTGTCTTTGACATAACAGGCATGGTTTTGTCACACCACAGATCGTTAATATTATATAGTGCACATTCCGCATACCCTTTTCTCTGACTGTACTAAAGATGTCCCTTTATAGTTATTTTGTCTAAATCAGGATCCAAACAAGGTCCACATATCATTTTTGGTTACCATGTCTGAAACAAATGATGGAGATGTTATTTGGTTATTATGTTGGAAACACTCCGGTGATTTTTTTTTTCCTGATATGTACAGTATTACTGGAAAAACACTTTATTTCGTGTTTTATAACTACATTGTTATATTTTCTACTTTGGAAGTAACATTACATATTATATATCATTCAACACTTATCCAGCTACTGCATAATGAACAATTACTATATGTAGGACATTGTAGTGGGTGCTGAGTTTGATGTGAAATGTCTATAAATTATAGTTCCTACATTGAAGTTTTTACATGAAGGAAAAATTGATATAAAAATGCAAAATGATAATGACAAAAATGGCAGTATAAGTTACTGAAGTGGTAAAGATACTGTGGGTTTATAGGCAGAGGTATGGCTTGGAAGATAAGTCTTTTTGAAAAGTTAACAATTTAGATGGATGAGTTAGAGACCAGCAATTTAAGGAAGAAGTTGGAGTGGGAGGGAAGGAAAAGCGAAAGTTCATTTTATGAATGGAAAACTAGGGTGGAAAAGAGACATAAGGCTTACACATGGAGAGAAAGAAAGGTACATAGGGATATAAGTAAAACAAATCAATGAAATCAGAATATTTGTGAAAGATATGTGTAGAGGGTACATAGGGGGAAGGTTGGTAGGACAGTGGGTGGCAGGATCAGTAGCTTGAACATTGTCCTTTGGAACAGGACCACTAGCTCCATTCATTTTTCCATATATGGGAGACTATTGCACACTATGTAAACATAGATCTTTCATTAGTAAGCAAAATATGCTGGCTCATTTCATAAGGGAACTTAAGAAACTGTTTATGTATTCCAATAGCAATCATTTTCAAATATTTATAGAAAATTGGCAAGATAATTTGATGTTTTGTTTTGCCCAAGAGCTAGATACTCCATTTAGAGAAATACAAACAAATTGGAGCAGATTTAACAACACCCACTACGAGCAGCTGAGAGAGCTTCATAAAGCAAGATTTAATCGTAGCACAATATAAAACAACAGCTCAACAAATTCAACAAAAGAGAGATAACCTTAGTAAAGACATACTAGCTCTGCAAACCTTAAACTCTAAACTTTCTATCAGTAATAAAATTACAGTGACATTTGTAATATGTCTGTTCTTCTGTGTATCAATTAAAATGTGTATTGACCTATAAATTCTCTCTTTACCAGAAAATCCTAATTGATTTTCATTATTAAAAAATTCTCCAATGGCAACTGAATTATCAAGGTCATCAATGAAAGTACACATTGAACATAACATAGATTTATTGGTAAGTATTTTTCTTTCTGTATGTTTATTCTTTAATAAATGATAGATTTGTAACTTTTTTGAGTGCCCAAATGTGCCAAGACTTGTACTAGGCTTTTGAGAAAAGAAAACTATACACACAATGATGTCATATGATTCCATAGGCCTGTATTCCAGTACAGATGATTAAACATATACAAATAGAAATCAAATTACAGACTGGATGAAAATAAAGTCAGCTGGATTAAGCAAGAGCTTCTAAACAGCAACACTATGACTGTGGATCAGATGCTTCTTAGAGGTGAGGAGCTGTCTCCGCATCTGCTATGTGTTGCCAGATATTTCCAGGTGTCCCCGGGAATGACAAAAACATCACTTGCGATTTTTAGCCTCTGGTTTAGATAGAAAGTTCTGTGTGCATTTTGCTAATGGAGACAACTTCCAGTTCAGGAAAATCCATAGAAGTGTCGGGCTGCCGTGACAAGAGTGAGAAGAGCGCATTTCGGGAGGGGAGAAAGTAGCTAAACTCAAGATAGGCAAGCAAATGGTTAAACGCTAATTATATCCAGGACTCACTCTGCATTCAGTGTTTGGGAGGTGGTTCGTAAAACAGAAGGCTGATACAGTAGAAAGCAATCAAATGATTCAGGACCTTGGATACAAAATAAAGAGGATGTTATTTATTCTGTAGGGGTGCCATTAGAACGTGAAAGTAAGAGAAATGAAGCATCATTTCAGAAATATTAATGTGGCAATTATAGACAGAATGATAGAGCCGTACAAGAAAGTCCATTTTAAGTAAGAGATTCCGCTAAGGACATAATTTGGCTGAAATCAGAGAATATATTTCCCAGCATAAGATGAAAGAGGATAGAACAAGTAAGGAAACCAATTCTGCAGTTTGCCTCTCTGTTGAATGTCGTAAGTTGCTGAGATGGTTTTCTCATGATAAATGGACACTTCATGATGGACAGACGTGTCAGGTCTCGGGGCTTCATCAAGTGGAAAGTTACAGCCAATGTTGCAGAGCGGTGAAGCCAAAGATGGTATTATTCCAAACAGTAACATCCCAGGGATACAGAAACCATGAGTCTAGGCTTTCAAATAATCTCATTAAAGAAAAATAGCCAATTTAAATCCCAAAGCCTGGGCCAAAATGGTGCCCACTATTTACCTACAGAAGGAAGAATTCTAAAGTTAATCTTTGCACACCCTGAGATTGTCACCTCACAAGCAGACTTTTGAAAGTCTCCTCGTTTCTTCCACACTTTTTCAGATTTTCAATCTAAGTATATTTTCCTTTTCCCACTTGCAATATGAAATGTTAGGGCAGGACATGATTCTGTCAACTGTCCTAAAACCCCCGTGTCAAACTCCTACGCACTCACTCTCAGTAACTACTCTGTTCATTTGCTCTGAAAGATTTACTATCCTATTAAATACTAAAACCTCTCCCTATACTTGATATGGTTTTAAAATTAAGGAGAAAAAGAAGCCGTGTCAAAAGAGGGGTCCAGGCAAAGGTCACTTCCCCTTCATCCCCACCCCATTTCCCATTCCCCCACTCCACCTTGGACTTAGATCCAAGATAGGAGGATTCTCTGAAATAACGAAGACCTATTCTGTGTTTACCAGTGAACTAGTATATTTACTTTAGGGTTCCTTAAAGTTTTCATTTTTGAGATTCTAACCATATTTGGTAGATATCAAAAATTAAAGTGTGCTTTTTAAAAAATATATAGATGCAATGAAGTAAGTAATAAAGGGTCAACTAGACTAAGAAATGAGAACCTAAGGAAATAAATGGAGAAATTTATCTTCAGGCATAGGAACTTTGATTTTGTTGAATAAGAAAACTCCTCTTTCATAAATAGAGAATTTAATATGATATAAAATCAGGAGTTTTTCTGGCAATTGGATATAAAATGATAATTGGAATAAATTTGAATAAGTGGGACAAGAACAATTATAATAGTCTAGATGTTATGCATTTATCAAAGCAATTTTTAAGTATCTCCAGTGTTAATGAAACTGTATTAGATACAAATTTATGCTTACTTGAACTAGAGCAGTGACTACAGGAATGGAAACAATCTTATTGAATATTAATAAAATGATTAAACCAATACAGGACTTATTTTTTTCTTGAGGTCTTTATGCCTATTTATCAGACTTTACATATTTGAAACTGATCCATGGTACTGGGATGTGTTCCTAGAATTCAGTGCATCAAGAACCATGGGGACAATTTAGTTAATAGTTGCAGTCCACAGATTGTGAGTCTGCAGCAAAATGGCTCATGCTTCTGAGTTAAATGGCACCAACATCTAAAGGTGAAGGCAGAGGGGAGACAGATGTAGCAAGGTGATTCCCCCTGGGTATACCAGAACCCCCATTCCTGTCAGTATGAGAAGACTGCAATCCCCCAGTCCCGCAGGAATGGTTTTAGTGAGATTTGGGTGTGTTCACTAAAAAAAGGGAATGAAACCAAATGGCTAGTGTTACTGATCATTTCTGCCCTTCTGAGTTTAGATTGGAAGTGGTTTTTAAGGGTCCCAAAAGCTATTACCACTTCTTTTCTTTCTTAATGAAAAAACTGTCTTTAAAAATTTTTTAATCCTACTATATAACTTTAAATTTATATTGAACCAAATAAAAAGACAAAACACTTAGATTGTCAGACATCTCAATTTTAGTCCCAAGCCTGACTTTGGCTTAAAGCATGAGTCAGGGTAAAATCTAAAAATGTGGTTAGAAATGAAATGGCTCAGTCATTGTTCTAGTTTAACAATATACCGTTTACCACTTGGAATGTCTAAAATAATATTAATTATAATGTTAATTACAATGACATGCTATTGCAGTATTTTATAAAACTGTTGAAAGATGAGTTTTCTTCTATATAAATCCCTTTTGGAAGGAATTTTGTGTGATTTAAGCATAATTAGTGAACTTATTGCTCTATTTTAAGTGTAAGTGATACAAAGTATCTCAATCTTTATATTAATATATAGTCAGTTTTGCAGTAAGACATGAAAATTCTTTTTTGCAATACACAGAAGGAATCAGCACATTTTATGTCTTTTTAATTGTGATTTTTAAAATTTAAATTATTTATTTTTAACTAATCCACAAAACATAAAATTATATATATATCAATGGGGAATATATGATATTTTGATGCATGTTTGTGTGTGGAATGTTTAAATCAGATCAACCATTTCTATCTCATTTTAATTTGCCTTTGGTGAAATTTTCAAAACAGAATTACGCTGGTGCATGCAAACAGCACCACCAAAGCAGTGAGCACTAAGGGGCACCAGCCAGCATGAGGGCTCAGTGTTGCTCTGCTGTCTCTCTCTTTCCTGTATATTCAGAATTCCAAAAAAACCTTAGTAGGTTTTTAAGAAAAATAGCAACATGAACATGTGATTTTTTTCTTTTTATTTTATGAAAAAATAAAACAAATTTTTATAACCAAATAAGGGAATAACAACAGTCACTACACTGCATATCACTGTCTTCAAAGTAGTTGCTCAGTCCAAGATATAAACCAAAAATGTTCTCAGAAAAAAGAAACAAACAGGTAGCAACACAAACTTTCTTTTCAAGGAACTAAGATAGAGATTTATATAAAATGTTCCACAGCAGGTAAAAAAACACGAAAAGGTCTACAATTACAACTGTTTTTATGTAAATTCATTAAATGTTTCTCATATTTTGATAGTTCTAGAAAATCTTTTTAAATTCACCAGTTTTATATCTTGGAAGTGTATCTTAGTCAAAATTCCTATACACACATACCCCAGTTTCTCTTTCTGTTTTTCCCTAAGTAAGTCTGGGAAAACTTCTCTTCTTTAGTTGCTAAATATGATTTATCTACTTTTAGAATAAAAAAATAAATACTGAGAAAACTGCAATGTCTTTTCTGCTTCAGTAAATATGTCACACTTTGTCAAATTCTGAACATATTAAGCTTTCATGGATTTCTGTTTTCCTTAAATGCTAAGTTTCTGTATTAGAAACAAAGGGTAATTTATTTTTTATAAGTAGCTTTTACTCATTTTTTTACTCACAAATACTTCAAGAACAGATAATTGAGAGATAAATTAGAATGTTTAAGGAAGAAGAATATTGGTTTTCATTTATCTGTGCGTGATTACCACTGCCCTCATGGATGGAGACGATTTTTGTATCCTGAAATCTGTAGGACATCTGCTTTGTTAATTTTCTGTGGCACAGATGAATGTCAGATGCACCATCCTTGAGAAAAATGTACCATTGACCCTTTCGAAAAGTAGCTTTTACCAACAGGGAGATCAAAACTGACTATTTTCACAAGGACTGAAACTAAAGGATGGCTGTTAACAGAGTTACATTTAAACAAAAGTATAAAATATGTATACTTAAGAATATGCCACTTGAAATGAATTGCCTATAAATTTTTAATTTTATCTGAGCTTGTACTTTTTGAATCCCAAATTATTTTTAAAAATTATTTATATTATAACCCAATTAGGATGAACTGATATCATTCTATTAAACTTCTCAATGAAAATGAAAAAATATGATACATATACATTCTAAATCAAGAAGTATTTTTGTTCTAAAAAGTGCCAGCACAATGTCTGAAATATAAATGTTTTCTTCCTCCTTTTCTCCATGCCATTTATCATGACAAGGTATTTTGACTCAACTTAATTCTCATGCCACTTTCTGAAGATCATTTGGTGTTAAAATAATACTTAGATGTATTAAATTTATTTTAACTCACAAATTTCTATTGGCCATACTCAAACTTGGAGACAGTCCTTTTATATAACCATTCCTGTCTTCATTTAGAACATTTTCATCACACTGTTAAAATGACAACAGTAGCATTTGTAAACAAAGAAATAATACAGGGCATGGTGAAAAACTACAGTGGATGTTTAAATTTTTAAAAATTATTATGTTAAAAGACACACTGCCATCAATGTTCTGCAAGGTCTACTAAATTATCCTGTATGTTCACATCAAATTATGGCCAGAGTTCTAACACAGTAAGGTCTGAAATGTACACATATCCTTCTCAGGGCTCCCTGCTAGCCCTCTGTTCATCTTACAAAGCCTCCATACCAGTTCTGCAGTCTGTCAGATCTGATCATTCACAGTGTAATCAACATACACGGTGAATTTTAAATTTTCTAATTGCCTTAAAAGATATATTGCCATTACTCCTGCTCAGTACAGTACTCCTCCCCTTCTCACTTTGAATACACTTACCCCATCATTCTTGCCTGCTCTTTCTGGAGCAGATCTGGATGGTTTCTTTTGTGAGTGTCTTTAATTGCACTGTTCTGGCTGCCTCGATGTCCTAAATCAATTCAAAACATTGACCTTTCATGATAATTTTGACTTTGCAGAAGAACCAGAAGTTGCATGGTATGAGATGCAGTGACTAAGGTAAATTAGGATATAGCACAATGTTTTCATGAGCCTGCTTTTCCATTAAACGGCACTCAGCAGCAGCATTCACCATATATTTGATGCCACATGATACAGACACTCACAAAAGAAGACTTCTAGACCTGCTTCAGAAAGTGACAAGAATGATGAAATAGGTGTGTTCAAATGGAAGGGAGTGTTCTGAGGGGGATGATTGGCAATGTGCCTTTTACTGTGATAATTTTTTTTCACATTCACTGTATATCTTGATCATACCTTCATATATGGGCATGTATGTGAATATTAACACTTTAATATAGGAATCATCTTTTACCTTCTTCTCTTCGCATTTGTTTCCATATCATTTTCCAAAACCATTTTTACATCCTAAGAGAGTTTCATAGAAAGACTTTGAATGAGATATCTGTTAGGTAGGTACACTTGCTGATTGATTTATAGCTTTCTGCTCTCCTTAGTTTCAATCAAAAGACCATGGTAAGGAAAAACCATCTAAAACAAACTCAGAATCCAGTCTCATACCCTGACGATCTGTGCTTCCTCATCAACACCCTTCTAGACTGAGTTCTCCTTATTACACACTAAATTATCATACAAAACAAATAACTAACTTAACTTCCTGCCTCTTGGCTATCTTCTTCTGATTTCCCTACTGAAGGAAGTCACAGAATAAATTTCTACCATATTCTTACACCTACCTTAAACACTTAAATAGTCTCCTACATCTACCAATCAGAACTCCCCAGTGTGACATTCAAATCCCAATACTAACTTACCTTTGAATACCACAGATACAATTACTCAGCAGATAGCCCTTTATTCAAATAAACTTAACAACCCATGTATCTAATATTTAGGTTTAGCTCCTACCTCTTTGAAAATATTTTCTGACCCTTCCCACCTCATAGAACCTCTGTCAACTCACTGGAGAATGTAACATGCTGTACTGTTTTGGTTTTTGTCTTTGTTTTTTGCTTATTTCTGTCCCCATAAGGCTGTAAGTTTCTTCAGGGAAGAAACATGTCCTATTTGTCTTAATAGCTTTAATACCTAACATTGTTTTAACATGTAGAAAAAGTTCATAAAATTATTATTGAGTGAATTATTAATTATCATTGAGTAACTAAAAGCAAACTGATATACTGTTTCTAGGTAAAATTCTATCTTTACTTTTTCTTTTTCCTTTTCTCCCACCTTCTAAAACTTAGATCAAAATTTAAATTCTTTGTAATTGGTCAGATGTTTATTAAATAGTAAGAGGGTTGTAAGTTTGGAATTCCAAGCTGAGAATTAAAAGAATGTTTACAAAGCAATCCTGCCTCTCACTAAGGAATACAAAAAACCGCAGGTCCAAAAGGGACACGTGGACATTGTATGGAGAATTCTAGCCCAGCGTTCCTCCTCAGCTGAGCTCTCACCGGGGCTCAGTCAGGTGCCCCATGTGTACAGCTCCTACTGCCTGGGGACAAGCTGGAATCTTTCTCCACTCAGCACTCTCGCCACTTCTTGGTCCCTCTCTTTTCTGGCCCAATGCCTGGAGATCGGGGTCTCAAGAGACAGAAGTCTGACTCCTTGGAGTCCTTCGCATGTCTCCTCATTTCAGGTGTCCTTTTAGAATCCACTCCGCTCTATCAGAGCGCACCGTTCTGTTGTAAAAGCATAATCCTTCGTTGCGTGTTAGAGTTTTCCGAGCAGCCTATCTCAACCCACATCTGTCTGGTTTGGTTTCAGGTACTTTCCTCCAGAGAATTCTGTTCATCTTGGAAGACATTGCAATCTCCAGTGGTTGGAGCTAGGTCTTCATCAAAAAAGTATGATTCTCCTGTGCTTTTGCTCTACCTGCAAAGCGTGTTCGATTGGCTCAAACTATAGTCAACTTTGATCACCTGTGGTCCTCATTTCCCTGTCATACATTTGTAAAATGTTTAAATAAACAAGTGTTTAAAATAAGTACATGTTTATACTTCTACCAGTCTGATTTCTTACCAAATCAATATATAACTAATTGACGAGGTAGGACTAAGAAAGTAAAAATCATTGAACTTCTCAGTCACCATATCATTTTTATAGACTCATATCACTACATAGTTTTTCTAACCCTTTTAGTAGATGGGAATTAATGCAAAATTTTTCTTCTGAGCATTTTAAAATGTGTATTGACTCACAAACCTTAAATAATTGAAATTAGTATTTGAGGTAAACTATCAACTCAAATGCAGGCATATAGAATAACTCCAAGATCATATTTAACAAAGCAAGGTGTGCAAAAGTGTATTTCCACTGACAGTAAGTAAAAATAATGTGGGCTTTTACAAGGAAATTTGAAATTTATCAGATAAAGCTTTTCAGGGAAGTAAATTTTCACTATTCACTTCATCTTTATTTTCAAACACATTTGTCTTTACTCCCAGATTATATGCTCTCGACTTTAAAATTCAGTTTTATAACATTCTAGTTTTTTAGTGTTATTATTGATCTATCAAGTCAAGAAAATATAAATCTCTTTAAAACAAATGCAGACATAATGTCCCAGATCCCATTTGCCCAAAAGGCTAAGTAAATTCCCTGTAAGCAATTTCCAGGATGTGATCTTTAATAGAAGGTTGTGTTATCTCACACAAAAGCTATTTCTGCCCACAGCCTCTTTCTTTTAAATGAGTGCTGAATCGTGCTTCCTCCTTCTTTAGTAAGGCTGGAGTCCTGTTTTTCTTTTCTTTGCCTCAAAAATGGCAAAATTATAGGAATGCCAATATTTACTCTTCAATTACACAGGTGCATATGAGCAGTGTAAGAAGATATGCTAAAGTAAGGATTGCAAAACTGTCTGAAAATGTTGTTTCTTAAATAATGTTTTGGACATGGTTTCTTACCTGATAGGAGAGTAAGGGCTACCTGATTATGTTCTCATGTGTATTTTTGTTTGTTTTGATGGTGCAAGATGTGAGCCTTGTCTTTAGAGATTTAAGTGAGAGAAGTTTGGATTAGAACAATTAATTAATTAGAAAAATGACAATGCTGTGTTGAAGAACAACAAATTAATGTCAGTTTCTCTATAATGAGGTCTTCATACAGATGATGCTACCCCTAAAATTTCAAGGCTATTTAAAGTATTGGATTGATTAGAATCCCCTCAAAATTAGTAGCTACACTATTTTTTCTACCTTCATTCTTTTTATATGTCAGACAACTGTTCACACTGATTAAAGAAAACCCATAACAAAACCAGAAAGTTGATGCAAGTTGTGCACATGTTGCTAGTTCTTGAGATCACACACACAAAAATCATAGATTACATTTACTTGTTTTCAAAAGTTCACAATATAGCTTTGAAAGGAACTAGAATGATTTTTAAAAAATAAAAATTCCAGTTTATTCAGACTTGGAGTCAAATGAGAACTCTGTGCAATACCTACAATCGGCATAAAATACGTATAGGTGTTCAGAGCTGAGACTGATTCCTGAGAAGCAGGAGGTCCAAAAACACTCACAGAGGAGATAGCATTTAAACAAGACATACACAGTTTTCAGTGGAGATGGAGATGGATCCTTACTGTCTGGCAGTAAAAGCAAAAGGAGTGATTGGTTTGCAGCAAGATATTGCATATGTGAGTAAGAGATGTGTGGGCAACCGTGGGCTTCCTTGGAGCTCAGATACTAGGAAGGCATTTATTTAACAAATAAATATTTCCTAGTTGAGTGATGTATGGTAGACTCATAAACATTTCTGAAAAAGATATGAGCTCAAAGGAAGGGTAAGAGATAAATTTGAGAAATACAGACTAGATTAAAATGAAGGTAAACCAGTTTATATAGGATTGAAGTAGTCCAGCAAAAAAATGAACTTGAGCTGAAGGTGAGGCCTGTGAGAGGTCCCTGTTGAAGGGCTGATGGTGTGGAAGAGAAGCAGATGGAAAGTGTCGCAGATGAGATGATTGCTGTAGGAAATGGTTGTGCTCTAGGATTTAAAGAAGGTGCAATGCAGTCCTGACGATAACAACTCAGGGCAAACTTCAGCTGAAGATCCAGGTGGTCTTGGCACAGAGGCAAAGTCCACCCTTGCTTCAGACTCCAGCCACAAGGTCTCAGTGTCCAGACTGCCTGCAGTCATGGTACACTGGCTGCAAATTTAGAAGTTCCCACCACCCTCTAAGATTGGAGTATTCACTACAACAGCTAACAGAATTCAGGCAAACATTATGCCTACATCACAGGTTTTTTTAATAAAAGATAAAAATCAGAACCAGTCAAATAAAGAAATGCACAGGGCAAAAAGCAAAGGATTCCAGGCACGAAGTTTCTACATCGTCAGGGCATGTTAGCCTATTGGCTTATCACTGTGTGTGTGTATCATCAACCAAAAAACCTGAACTGAAACAAAACAAAACAAAACAAAAAACCTGAACTGAGAGTCATTGTAGAACCTTAAGGGGATTTCATTATAAAGGCATGACTAATTAAATCCTTGGTCACAAAGTCGAACTCATGATCTTGACCTTGTCTCAGGCTGCTATCATGCTTTCAGATTTTTAGCCTTCTAATCACATGTGGAGTGCTCCCTACATGATAACGCTGGTGCTCATCCATTAGCACAAACAACCTACAGATTCTCCATCAGTCACCTCATTAGCATAAACTCAGCTGTGACTCACTGGGACTACCATAAAAAGTGTACTCTGATCACTGGGGAAATCCAGGATTTAGAGGCCCCCTCAGAAGCACGAAGGACAAAGGCTAGTAAAACTCTTCATTACACCACAGAATGATTTTCAGCCAACTCTAGATTCTTTCTGGTGGATATTCCAGCAAACAGTTAAATTCCAAAAGAAGCTGAAGTGAGAGACATGAGACTTAGAGCTACAGCTTTGAGCACATACAAAAGGTCAGGTGGTGTTCACAGCTCTCGGAAAGGGCTGCACTCAAAAGCAAGTCCTTGACCTGGTTTCACAAGAGAAGCCACCCTACCACATACAGCGTATTTTCTTAAAGAAACCAGCTCAGCCTGATAGAAACACTGTATTGGATAGAAACAACTCTCCCTGCATCTTCTTTCTCAACCAAATACCAGGTAGTAATACCTAAAAAATGTGAAAATCCAAACCTCCCATAGTGGTGACTTAAATATTTCATCCTTGTTAGATCAATGCTGAAGGGATGAAGTCAGCATCATTAATGCTCCCCTATATTTTCAGTATTACACAGCAGTGTAAACTTAGCTGAAATACTCTCTATTTTGACAGTTCCTTTCAGTTCATTGTCACAGACCAGTGCATCTGTCAACTTCAGTAGAAAACCAAGCAGTCCAGCCTCTGTACCTGCAGAAATGCCAATGTGTATTTGTTTTTGAAGATGATTTTATTTACATGAAATACTCTTTTTCCCCTCAAGCCAAAAAGGATATGTTATGAAATATAATACCTTACATTTTTATCTGACTTCTGTACACATATATAGCTTATGTATTAACAAAAATAGTAGGTGCCATTATTTAATAAGGGATAATGACATCCCTTTGTTTACAATCAGACCTATTGCATACAAAGCATTCACAGCGCCATAGTGGCTTAAGACACAAGCAATCTCTATCATATATTAGAATTCCTAGTTTTGATCAAAATGATGAGAACCTCCACAGGCATTTCCTGATGTGTCAGTTTGAATCCTGTGAGAAGCAGATTCCAAAACAGAATTAGAAGTGTAAAGGATTTACCAAAACGAATGCCTGAAGAGGATAAAGAGGGGGAGAAGGAGCGGGAAAAGCCTTCGCTCTCTGCGGAAGTCTGGCATGTATGAGAGGAGACAGAGAAGGAAGACCTGGACAGCCCTGTCTCTACAGGGCCTTGCAGAGGTGCTGCTGGTCCCCTGCTGTCAGAAACTCATTCCTAACTGCTCTGAGTCCCAGGTCATCACACCAACCTGGGACAGATGCCCATTTCTACTCGACATTGACCTGAACAGGAGACTCCCCCAAAGCGCTAAAGTGGCCCCGTGAATCCCACACATATTCTTCTCTATCCTCTCTGGATAAAGGCCTTACACCACTCTGGAGACCAGGAACAATTACTCCTGCTACAATGCTGCTGCCTTTCCTCACCTGCTGGTTTCTGAATTCAGAGTTTCAAACACTCACATGGAGTTGCAGCTTGCAGTATATTGGGACTTCTGCTGTCCCCTTGACAAGAGTTTGCCTTGTTATAAACCTGGGACCTCATGGAAAGTACAAAGTCCCCAGGTGTCTAATTAGGAGAATGCTGGATGGTTAGTGCTGCTTCTCCTCTCCTGCTCCTTGGTCTTGAGCCTAATCTGCTTCCTGTGTAGACCTCTCCCATACTGTACAGATTATGCCCTGAAGTATGAGAAGCCGACCTTGCACAATATTGCCATCATGACAGATTCTAGCTGTGACCTTCGAAGTTCATTCCAGCAACACCAGCTGTGTCTCGGTGAGTGGTGTGGATGTGATTCAAGGGACACTTTGCTTTGGAATAGCACTGGTTCTGAAGTAGTCATCCTTGGTGGATGCTATGAGAGATCCCATAACTTGTGTATCTGACTTTTAGTAAGCTGCTGTGTGGTGCTGACTAAAGCTCCATAGAAAAGAAAGTCACAAGTTGCACCCATAGTCATAAAAAGTACCTGTGAGGTGAACTCCTTGCTCTTCTAGAATGGAACACTAGAGTGAATAGATGGCCAGCAAATATCCACTTGGTGTCTCCTGCTAGAAGGCTGAACATTCAGAGGTGGAAGTAGCAGGGTTGTCTTCGGGAAAGTGACAATACATGCCAAAGGGCCAATGTGTAGCTTCATCTCTGTGGCAGTCTGTTCAATACCCTTCATGTCAGTTCTGGAGTGGCCAACGACAAAAGCCAGCTAAAGTCATTGGCCAAATCATTTTGTCTATTCGGCTATTCAGTACCTCTGTAGTAGCAGCCAGCATCTTGTTGGCATTGACATGT